TTACTATTACATAAACTAAATTCTCTTTGTATATTGAATGATTATTCAGTTATAAATATTACAGAGTGGCCATATGGCTATTTCATTTATATACGGAGATAATTTCTTTTCTGAGAAGTTTTCAAATACATTGAATCCTAAGTCATTCTATTATACGAATCAATAAGCTTTATTATATAATAAGCTTTGAAAATTTCTATTCAAATTCCGACAGTGTAAATTCTTAGGATAAGATGTGAAATAATCGTATTGGAAGTTTATTTACAATGCTGTCCAAATTAAATCAATAATCCTAAAGAATCTCTATGACATTCGTCAACAACAAAAATCTCGAATTAATAGTACTGTATAGTTTTGAATGAACTAACCTTTAGAATAGAATTAAAACGTATTGTAGATCATATAACTTATTTATATTTAGATGTTACTATCAGTGGCTTTATTCAATATTATACTTTTGGTACAATATAGAATTCTCAGAACAAAGTATTTCAACAAGCTTCCATTTCTCACTTCTGGGTCCATCCAGACGATAAATATTGAGTGGTCGCTAGTTAGAAGTTAGCGATCCAATAAATTGACATCTAAATAATGTACATTATTTTCGCTGCATATTGTCAGCAACCACGAAATCTCTCGTTGGGCCTTTTGTAACTTGTACAACGAATGGTTTTACACTTTTCAGGAATGCACCTGAATAGGTTATGCGATTAATAGCCATAATGATGTATTGAAACGAAAAAGATTGGATAATTTATTTGAAATATCTAAACGGCAGTAACAGGTAGCCCAGATGTTTAAGCAGGCCGCCAGATTTACTTCGAATTAACATTAATGAACATTGAACCGGTAATAAAAATAGGTCTTATTACAAAATCTCTGAAAGATAATAAACAATAGGAAGTTCTTTACTCTGTATAGTAACACAATAGCAGATGTTTCATTTACCTTGATAATTAAAAATAAAAAGTCATGCATCAACAGTTAATGGTTGTAAGAGTGTAAACGAGAAAAATCTCTGACACAAAGTAGTAAGCTGTAAATGAGATTTCAGGGTATCACGGATAAGGTTTTGTATTTTCAAGCTATTTTCTTGAATTGGAAAATGTGTCGTGGCTGGAAATTAAATTCAGGACTGGTGTTTTGCTCTAATTGCGACTATACTAAAAAATGTAGCCGCTCCTCAGTGATGATATTCATACTGAGAATCGAAACCAATACATCTCACTTCAACTTCCAGCACTGGGATCGAGTTACATCAAGTTAAGAATTTACATATGGGACGAAATATCCGTTCTGGATTGTATTACTAGCCCCAATCTATATATTACGAAATGGCCATATTGAAGCAATCCATCCAAAATACACATATGCTAACGAAGACTGGTTCAAAATACTCTTTTGAAATTCCTTACTCAGTTTTGAAGAGGACAATAAGTAAACCAATAAATCTTGGATTTGTGTACAAGGCAAAATGTGATTATAACCTAATACTGATTTGTTTGTTTGCAGGTTAGGTACTGTTTGCAAAAAAATGGCGATAGAAAAATTTGTAAAATCACATGAGAATGCCTCGAGGTACCAATTACTAATATTAGTAGTAGGATGTTTTGGCGAATTCGTTTGATAGATAATTTATACTAATACGGCTGTTTTATTTTATTATCATAGGTTAGAAAACATTTACATCGAAACTATAAGATAGCTTTTGCAATAAACGTCATTTCTTCATTGTTTGTAGTGAATATTGTTGAAAATTGATCGTAAAATATGATTTCAGAAATTTTTTCCTACTTTAGAAGGGTTTCTGGTGAACAAATTATTACGACTGGCGCTTACAATCATTGAATAATTCTTTATTTCCATCCAACTTGGATCTAACATAGAAGGGTTGTATACTGCTTCCTATTTGACATCACATTCTGGTAAATGTAACATGAACAAGTTCTTAGAACGTGGAAAAATTTCTATCAGAACAGTAATTCAAGGATAATGTGAATTGAAGTCTCACGAAGAAAACTGGCTCCCTCAAGAGTAGAAATAAGCCTTACTGATGAGTCTAAATTAATAAGAAATAATAGGCCTACAACTTCTTGCTTACTATATCCAAACATAAAATTAATCATTATTGAATGATGTTATAATATCATTAAAATGATTATTATTCTGATGAAACCACTTCACATTTATCTTCGAATATATGTTGCAATAAACAACAGTTGATAGTATAAAACAATAAAAGATTCCAGGTTGCTAACACAAACCTGTGTTAATTTAATGTCGGTTATTGATTTATTCTGAAGAAGTGGCTTACTTTATATCACGAAACGTCAGAAATACAACGTTTTCCACTCATCGAGATATAACAAAAAATATCTATTTATTATTAACTCTCTATCCGATTCACAGTTTTTTTGAAACTATCAAGTCCAACCTAGGCATTGATATCTACAAACATAAATAGAATTCTTCTAGAAATTATCTCAAAAACCATTAACAGTAGAGATTAATGACTGAGGTCATTACACTTATTATTTCACTCAATAATACACAGCTTTATTGAAATAATGTTTTATAGGATGAAGGCAATAAATATGTTGATTTTGTCCAATAAACAAAACGGATAGGACTTTGGTGATTCATACTTACTTTAAGCAGAAACTATGTCAGATTTTAAGTTCTTGTTTACTTCTAAACTATTTGGCCTCAAAATATGTTTAAACCAGTTTTTTTTAAAGACATTAAGACATATATATCTACGACATTATAAAACTTCACTATGGACAATCGTTAAAGGGTTAGTCAAGGTTATTCAATGCTCCATACAATTAATGTATAATTTCCATGGGTAAGTTACCTAAGTGTGGGAGAAGAAAATTGATGGTTTATGCTAACACTGTAATTAATAGTACAACTATTCTCATAAACGTTTCAGTTTCGTGTGGTTACTTACTTTCGTTACTCTTTATTCATATGACAAAAAGAAATTGACATTTGACTTGGGTTTATGAACTCAGTAAATATTATTTTAGTATTACAGACAATTTTAAAACACTAAAGAATTTCTTTAACAGCTAATTGTTAAAAATTAACTATAAAGACGGGTTATGTATATTGTGGAATAAGCCATCCAATACCATAACAGTAGAGCTGTTTTGGTTGTCCAACTGAGAACAATTTGTAATCCAAAATAAATTTAAATTAAATAGTCATCGTGAATCTCATTTATTAATAATTATAATCAGGGAGTGGTTGTTCAAATTATACATTAACAACGTCGGATGCCAGCTCAGTGGTCTAATGGTTAAGTGCTCGAGTGCGAGACTAATAGGTCCTGGGTTCGACTCTTGCGGTGTGGGAGTATGGATGCGCACTGCTGAGGATTCCCATCCTAGGACGAAACAGCCGTCCAGTGCTTCAAGATTTTCCATTGTGGTTTAGCTTCAACTGACACATGAATCGAATTATTAAATTATTAATAATTAGTTCCTTGTTAGTTACTAGTCGTCTTTAGAAGAATTCACAATATTCTGGAGAGCCCTGGTCAATGAACTTTCACTGTACGGTAATAAAAGTTATTGCAGGCGTTGAAAAAGGATTTTCGTTAGATATTATGTGCTGAGAATTAAACAAGAAATATTTAGGTCAAGAATGTTACCTTTATTGAATACTGAACAATGCTGTCTATAGATACCTGAATCTATCAGTCAAATTAATGTTTTACTCATAAAAATAAAGCGATCTAATTAAATAAATTAGTATTATGTGATAACTGAAAAAGAAAGAAAGTCAAATGATTACTTCATCTATAATGCAAACACAAACGTTTCACAATTTGAATTATTTATAATTGTCGACAAATGGTCATTTCTATGTCAGAAAAAAACCCATAAATATCAACTGATTAGAGTATATCTTTTTATGTAAGGTTATATGGAACTTCAAAATGTAGTCAATCACAGGAACAGTCAAATTCACCTAAAAAGGGGAACACATTAGTCTTCTTAGTCTTATGACATATTTATAAATCAACACATCTCCCAAAACTTGCAAGCAATTCTTCAAGTTATTTTCACGTTACTTCTGTTGTTTTTTTCCAACTCTGCTTATTGATAATCCATTGAGTAACAGAAAATTATGTTAACCAAAATGAATCACTGACCAGTGAGTAACATCATTTGAACATTACTGTCTTGTAATAAAAAGAGTTATTTAAGGAAAAAAAAGTTGTTCGCAACTTAAGATAACCGAATTGATGTGAAATATTAATAACTAAAATAATAAAGATAGTTTCTAAGCAATTCAGCATATAATTGAATAAAGAATCAGGAGAATTAAAAGGGAAAAACTTTATTTCCAATGTCACCATTTACTGAAGACATACATTCATAATTATAGTGGTTTTATAAATGTAGGAGAAAAAATTACATTATAAAGTGATATAAGATTTTAGGTATCGAAATGAGGTTGGGAAAAAAACAGTTTTATTAAAATAAATGACAGGTCAAAAATCTGGTGTCCGTTGAATGCCATAACAGTCAAATTATGAATAAATTTAAACTAATCATTATTAATGTATATCCAATAGTATGCTGTAATACATTTCTATTTTTTTCACGAGTTAAATACGTCACTCACAACTTTAGTATGTATCTGTTTGGATTCAGCTGTAAAGTTTTCAACCAATTGAAAAAACTAAATAGTGATGGCTTCCTCCCTCTTTCTTGTCTATAAGTTTGCCTTCCAAATTCTCTTAATTTATTCAAGTTGAAAGGAAACTGTTTTGTATACTTCAGTTCACGCATGTGATATAATGAGGAATAGAAATACAGTAACAATGAATAATATACAGTGACACGTTGGATTAGTATTTTTACAGGTAAAGTATTAAACATTGATCGATTGTTTGTGATGAGATAACGCAATTAAATGAAAGTTATACGAAAATATTTTTTAATGAGTTTATCGTAATAAGCATTTGGTTGTATTTAACCAAATAAGGTTTTCTTACGTCACGTCAACTGAGTTGTTAAGAAAACATCGTTATTTACATGTAAAATAAGAGTATAACAACATAAGAAAGGATTTTTGTGCGACCATGTAGCTTCTATCTTTTAAAAAAAATTGTTTACACTGTTTTGTTTACTGATGAACGGACAGACAAGGATACATAGATAGAGGTCTACACAGTATAAAAGAATCACGGATAACAAAAGCTGTGTATTTAATGATAATTTATTTCAACAAAACTCACTGATTCAGATGACAAAACTTATCTCCATGTTCATTGGAGGGATGATTTCGAAAAATAAATTTGTTAATACGAATAACTTCAGTTGATTAGTGGACTTTTGTTTGTATTATCAGTTAACGTCGAAATTCGACACAACTATGTGATTGCCTGTATAAAAGATAATAAAAGACACTCAAAACACCAATCAAGTAATATTAAGAAGGCTATTCAAGTTCATACTTATCTAGACAATATCTATACAGATGGTTTTAAACAAACAAATTCATTACATGTATACGCCACTATATTACCATTAGACTTGTTGAAAGATAAATGTTTACAAACCATTTAAATGTAGTAAATAACGGAACAAACAATTTTTTTCTTAAAAAAAAGGAGTTAAAATTAAATGAATGAACCAAGTTGTAACATTTATAAACACTCTGAATCATTACTTCATAAAATTAGGTAACTCAGATCAGTACTAAAAATTCAAACTTTATGTAAACAGTTTATGTCTACATCGAAAGAATTAGGTTGATGAATATATGTTTTGACAAGTTTATTGACTTTTGATAGTTCACAATGTCAGGTAAGCATTTCTGTTATTAATGTTTTCTGGAGTGTATTTGGTATATATATCAGTTTTATGCACCATTCTAATTTGTTTCCAAAAGTATAGATGGTACTAGTCTGTTGACAATTTAATTAAAAAGGACAAAGAAATGTAGTGATACGAAAATACTTTAAACACGCATAACTGTACGGTAGTTTATACCGATAAGGTTTAAAATATATTTCATAGGCCGAATAAACTTTTATCTTAGTTGAAATCATCAGTTAATTGAAGCTAGACCAACACAGAAAACCTGGAAGCACTGGACGGCCGTTTCGTCGACTCATGAATACCACTATTAAAATTACTACAATATCCATAAATTCCATTCTGATCAAATTATATAATTATTATGAAGGGGTCTTTTACCATACTTTTTCCATCTATGCTGCAAACATATAGAATACAAGTAATGTGTAGCGGTAACTTGTATCGAGAATTCACAATTGCATTCAAAAATCTAGAACTATGTGAACTGATAATTTTTTTAAACTGATTTACACAAAAAGATTTCCAAAAATGATGTATTAAAGGTTTGATAAATGCTATTCAGCGTTTCCAGGTTTTCCATGATGGTCTAGCTTCAATTGACTCATGATCTCAACTACTAAATTACTATAATACCCACAAAACCCCTTTCTGATTTCATCTTAGTGTTAAACTAGTTATCTTTACTTCACGAAAATAATCTAGATTAATTATTTTAAAACAGACATCTATGAACGCAGAATATTCTTTACAATAAATTCTTTTCAGGTTCTAAAATTATAATCTGCAAATTGATTAACCAATAGATGGCCAGGTTTAAGATAAAATTCATCGTTTAAAATTATAACATGTTAATTTAGAATTGTTTGTAATACACTCCTTGGTGTTAGTATAACTAATATAAAGTATTGGCCTGAATAAGTATGGACGTTGAATGAAATTGTGAGATAAATGATGATCAGAACTGATATTGGTTAACGTTGAGTAGGAGAGGTAATAATAGAATTACGTAATATGTAAAAATAATATAAATTAGGTACGAATTAGTAAATAGGGATTGATGCTAAATAAATTTCTCAAAGCATTCGCAAGTGTTACATTTATAGTGATAGCAATAGTGATAATAATATTATGTGATCGATGTAAGTTTAAGCTGCGAAAATGCGAAGAGTAAGGTTATATGAGCATTAGCCACCATATAATTAAAATGATTACTAACTAATTAGGCCAGAAGTTGACCAAGATAAAAGTAGCCTAAGAGTGCTAAACTGAAATATCTTCTATCGAGTAATAAACACAGAAATATTAAGAAAAAAATTGAAATGCTGCAAAATACATTAATATTTGTTTATCTGAATAATTAGCTAATCAAATATTTCATTGTAAAAACCTGTTATGTCTCAACGGGCCGCCGATTATAGGACAGTGACTTGTCGGTCGGATCAAGGGATTCGGAATCTCGATAGACTATTCTGGTCCGTTGTCCCCGACTCAGCTAACGCGATCAAGAAGTCTTGGTAAGGCGTAGAAAGTGTATTCTACAGGCAAACAGCAGATATCAGGTCAGGTCAGGTTAAGCACACAAGTCAAGCATATTTATACAAATATTTACAATCGATATTGTCATAGTAAAATGTTTTTAAACATTAATCAATAAGTTCATCAATCGATAGGTATTCAAATACTTAATCGATAAGTTCGTCAATTGACTGCTTTTTAAACATTGAATCGATAAGATAAAATTACAAAATATGAGTTTTGGGGATATATCGTCCCCAACAAAACCTTTCTAACTGATGGTGAATTTTGTGACAAACTGTAATACGCTGAAGATATTTTAAGATTTGTCGAGCACTGGCTAGCTGTTTCATTTTATTTAAAAGGTCCGATCTATAAATCTTTAGGTCTAAGTATGAATATGCGACCTGAAAATCAGCACTTCAACGATTTATATGTTCAAATTCAGTAAATTTTCAAGACAATGTATCCTTCAGTAAATGTAATTTTGACTATCTAGGTTACGTTGAATCCAACGTTAACGTTTATCAGACTGAACATTTGATTGAAACCTTTGAAAAGTGGTCTATTCTTGCCAACATTACCTTACAATGTAAGTCAATTTCCACAAACATTTAAACCGTTCTATCAATAATTTCTATGTATACTGATTGATGGAAATAAGGCTAACTGTTACAATATCACAATCTAATTGACAATTTACAAATTTCACGTAAACCTGTAGCTAATCTAAAGAATTCGTTCTTATTAGAAATACAATAAAATGCTTTATTAGTAGGAAATTTGGTGATTATTTGCACTGATGAATAGGAAATTTTTCTATTTATATTTTCCTTTTGTGAAAAAAACATATCCCAGTGTTAAGTTAGTTGTGGATTTCAGAGTTTAGTTATATTCAGTCTAAATTAAGCAAATCATCAGCAAATTATGCAGATAAATGATCACTTTTCATTTTAGAGTATTTAGATATTATGAGCTGAAATTATTTAATGAACATAATATCAAACTGGTAAAACACGTGATTGACTAATGTAGATTATAATAAAATTATTTGAAGATAGTTCTCAATGTAATTATTTAGCTCTAGAACTACTATAAACATTGGGATGCTGAATATATATTTCACCATAAATTTGATTTATTGGTCTCTACAACTGAAGGTTCTGAATTATTTCACAGTAAAATACTACTGAATGATTCCAAATGTGACGAAATAGTTGTTTGTAGTTCTTTAGTTACCCATAGCTGTTGTCAGAAGATGACAAGAATTACAATCTCTGAAATCTAGATTAACAAGGCATTTATTGATTTTTACAAACGTATTTTCTTCATGGGCAAGAAATGATTGACAATTTTGGTTAGTAAATCCGGAAATTTCAGGAAACTATTAGTGTATTCTATGGTCACAAATGGATTACTATTTTAAAATAGACATTGATTACGCTTCGACAATAAAAATAATGACTACAAATTTAAGAGTTAGTCTCTTATGGCTCAATACTAAACTATTTACCTTTACTTATCATGGTAATGCTGCATACTGAGTTAATTTAAGCATAAGCTCATTACTTTTCTTATTCATTAAAACTTAACAATGTTGAAGAAAAACATATTTCCGTATGATCGATAGTTTATTTACAAAAAAAACCCACAAAGCAGTGAAATCTTAAGATATATATCTGATAAATCTGTGATCACAATCCGATTCACTCAGTAATTAAATACTAAACACTCTCATTTTGAAAAAACATCAAAATTATTATAATAATTTAATATTCATTCATTTTCTGCATCTCTTATAAACCTGCAAGTAGAGTAAAATTCAAGAAATAATACCGATATGATCTTTACAAATCAACATCTCGTCTATTGATAAGCGACAAAAAATGTGTTTCCTTATTGACAGATACTATCACTTCCCAATAACTGTATATGATGTCGAGTTTCCTATTCTTCTGACATAAAACGTTCTTTCTCTATCATGGAAATATTTCGAAATATATGTATCAATATACTAAATTGTATGGATTTTCTTTATATTCATTGGTGTCTAGATTTTGAGCAACTTAAACTAGATGGTTAATTAGGACTTTATTGCTACGCAACATTAGTTTTATTAAAAAATCTTTGACGAAGTTTACTGTTTTAACATTTATTTTGCAAAGACCTATAGTCAGAAAGTCAATCAGGATTAGGTTTACTTTAAGGTTCCTTAGAAAAAACTGAAAAGATGACTCAAAACGATAAACTGTTATGGCTTTATTATTAACCTCATCCTCAAACGGTTCAACAACACACTTTTATTTGTTAAAATGTTCAAGTCTTGGTTTTACATCCTGCATTATTGATCATAATTCATGTTTCATTAATAACAAATTAGAATTATGAATCATTTTAATTAAGTAGACAAATCAAACTACTTAGTTTACTAGTGCATGTAGGAAAATTACCCTTGGGTACTTTCAATTAGTTTAAATGAATGGTACTCATTAATGAATATTCAATAATTTACTATTCATAAGTTATGTGGGACCGTAGTAATATAGACAGAAGTCATTATTTTATCATAGGTTGGAACGATTCCATTTAAAAAAAGTGACTTCCTGGAAATCAGCTAACATATTCAAACAGATTCGTACACGTCGAAATAAATTGTCTTTCTAGCTTTGCCAAAACGTATTCTAAAGTTCAGTTGGAAAAATTGTTTGAACAACGATTGTGTAACACCTTTTACGACTTAATAATGTATTCAGCATTTTAGTCCTTTCATTATTCTGAAGTACTATTTATCCGACTACACTATACATGACCAACACTATGATGATAAATTAATAAAAATCGAAATGTGTACCACCGAATCTGTACTCTTTGGCCAAGGACAATCCAGAATTCTTTGTACAGATTCTATGAAAAATTCTTTTTTGGGCAGCAAAATCTGTTTTTCGTGAAGTTAAAGGTGTTTCACTAACATAATATACAACAAGGAATTATTCATTGAAAACGTATGCTACAAATTACCCAAAAAAATCATTCACTGTTATCAAAACACACTTTTAAACTGAAAGTCTAATATCAGAAGAGGGCTGTTTTGGGGGCTGATAGGTCCTGCGTTCGAATCCTACAGGGCGGCATCAAGGATACGCACTACTGAGGAGTACCATACTAGCACAAAACGGGCGTCCAGTGTTTCCACGTTTTCCACGGTGGTCCATCTTCAATCGACTCATGAATTCAAATACGAAAATCGATTGTTTAAAAACAGACAATGATTAGTTTTAAATAAATTATTATTTGGATTCCGGTTCAGTGGTCTAGAGGTTAAGCATTCAAGCGCGAGACGGGAGATCCTGGGTCCGAATCACATGTGCTCACTGCTGAGGAGTTCCATGCTGAGGCGAAATGAAGGTACAGTGCTTTCAGATTCTCAATGGTGGTCTAGCTTTGATCGACTCGTGTTCTCAAACAAGAAAATTCAGATTTCACTCACCGTCACTGAATTCAAAAACTTTTAAGCAGTTTCTGTAAATTAATATTTTGAAACCCAAATAGAACTTTCTGGTGTAAACTGTCATATATTAATTCAAATAAAATATAACAACATCACGTGAATCATGGATATTTTGCTCGAAAATTCAACCAACATAAATTTTTTTTATTTATTCGCTTTAAATGCTAAAATTCATTTATTAATTTTGTAGAATGATTTACGTTGCTGAAAGTAAGCACCATTCACTATGGCTTTGTAAAAGTTTCTATGACATGAAATACATTATTTTCTTGAGCTGTTATTTATCTGAATCACGGTTTGAGATTGATCGTTAGTCCTTATCCATAACCTTACGTAAGATGGTATCCAAGACCGTTGGATAGTTTGACTGTTACTGTATATTAAACTGCCTTCACCAAAAGAAGTGTTGATTATTTTTCAACATAAATACCAGAAACGACGATGTTTAACATATAGTTACATTTCATATAGAAAATAATCAACCAGCGGGTATATATAAATCGCATTGAATAGAATAGTCTATTTCCACCGTTTAACCGCCATATAGACGTCGATTAAATATGCAATGACGACCTTGGCATGAAACGTATTTAGCTAATTAATGATATAAGGTGAGACTGGTTGCTTAATAGTTAGATTAAAGACCGATATAGGTTAGTAAGTAATAAACACGGCTTCAATGTTTATTTTCTAGAGAATTTCCTTATAACTTTCACGGACTTGAGCACTTAGTGAACTACTATCACATAATTAGTGGAATATCATCGGGAGGCCAATAGGATGAAAATATGTTACCGTTCAATGGTCGATTAACTTATGTATTTTCATCTTTAAGCCTATTTAAATGCATTGTCGAATTAAAATTTGTAATTTTCAAACCTTTAATTAAACCTTAATCATGTTTGTTTTTTCTTCTCTCTCTCTATCTTCGTACATTAACTATATAAGCAGGTTTGTATTTACAAATGAATAAAATACGTTGTTTGAATGGAATGTTCTTCACTCATTCTTCATAGTAATGTTAAACATTTTTCTAACAAAGGGGTTTTTTTCCAACAGAGTTTTACTTTACATTTTGATAAGGGAAAAAATACTGAGTAGGATTTATGACAATAAAAAGTGTATTATTCCGTATAAATACTTCTGGTCACGCAACAGAAAATTATTTTCGACTATGAGAATAACAACGGAATTCAGTACATATAGGCTGTCATAGTTGTATTTATTCCATTTTAATACATTCTATTGTTCCTCAAGGGAATTTGTCTGTCTATGAAAAAAAGCTGGAAATTTGATTTTCTTTTAAACGATACTTATTCGATAAGATATAGTATACTATTTTAGATCTGTCTAATATGACTGAATAACTGTTGTGAAGGGCGGTGTCCGAAATCTGATACTTATACACGGTGTGCTACGCACTAACCCCGACTGACTACTTAAGCGAGAACACAAGTGTTAGCGAGAAAGTGTATTGGGCTACCAAATAAAACGCACAAATATTCATTCGTATATATACCACACTAATCCTTGTGAAATTATTCTAATATTTAGCCAGTGAAATGCACTTGTCTTGTAGGTCACTTCTGATTACCATCGATTGACTTTCTGATTAAGCTATCTCTGATTGGCTCGCCAAATCAATAAAATATTCTTAACTTCGTCACGTTCGGTAATTGCTATTTTTAGTTAAACCAATATTGTTAATTCCTTTTATCCCTATTTTTTAATAATAGTTCAGTGGTATCTTCAAGCATATGATTTAATTTGCTGCTAGCCATTTGTCTGACTTTATATTTCTACATGGCATTCAGACTGCCAGAAAAAGAGTATGGACCTTTATGTATTACTTATATTCTGATGACAAATCTTTTCGAAAACCGCAAGACTATTCAGTTTTAAAGATCTTTTGAGTCTCTAAGATTTAAACACATATCGTTTAGCTCAATAGTTCAACTACATGTTAAAATTTATATTACTATGTTGTAGTCAAACTGTGGTGTATGCTATGTTGACAGATGTAAGTAGTATATAATACCAATCAGAAGGGGTGTGGCTGTCAGAAGAGGATTGAGAAAATTGAACTGAAAATACCCGAAAGGGGAACAGAAAGGAATTGGAATAAAAACAGAATTGGTAGCATCATGATGTAAAGGACAACTGATGGAAAATGTACAAATGAAGTACTTAATGTATGATTTTCATAATTTATGAATTGTCAAAGTTAATTGAATCTTGAATAATATCAAAGATTGAAATCTAGAAATCGAAATGCTATCTCTCTAATGTTTGTTTCTGTGGATACTAAGTTTAAGACGTGATATGAACGTCAACGTTATGATGCAATTACATGTAGCTAGAGAGTTTCAGAATAATCAAAATGTACTTCACTTTAGTGGTTTCAATCCATTCAAAATGTAATTTAAAGTCTCACACATAGTTTATTGTTGACAATTACTATATTAACAAGCATTTTGTTTGAAATAATACAAGATGGCCTTAAAATGAACATAAAGTAAATACACTACATAACTACTTCCTATCTGTTTTTGACAAGACATAAATGATGCATGAAATGATAATGCAGTTTTTTCTGAATATTTACCACTTTAAATCACTTGGTTATTAAACGCACTTCACACCGAACTAATAAACTAAACACATGATTCATTTATATAAATAATATTAAGATAAAAACAAATAGATTATTACGGTTGTTTTAGTCACATTTCATAATCCCTAATTTTTCTTTTTGTAGACCACGTGTTTTCTTTTCATTCTACTCTATCAAGAAGAATGTCTCGATTGTCTTTAAAACGTTCACCACCACATACACCTACTTTATCTAGTTGTAATCAAAGTTTACACAATGTTGAAATTGGAAAACATGTTGGTCGTTATGGTCCAGGTTTTTTATGGAGTTTATTTGAAAGCATGGAATCAAATACAAGAGTGGTAAGTAACTACTTGTTATTCCTAATCTTAAATGCTTTAAGAGTATTTTTTCTGTTGATAATTAAAACATCTTACAGAATAATACTTCATAATAAAATTCAGTAGGGATTTAACTGAAAAACCACAAAATGTTTGTAATTATAAATACTTATATGAAATTCAACTCGTGGTACTCTACAATGAATTACCAAGCTCATAAAAAAACCAATTTCCTTTTCATACACGTAGTTCCCTTTATCATTTTGAAAGGAGCAAGAACAAAGATTCTAATAAAATAGCATGAATTCATCTAATTTCGTTGGATAAGCGTTCGCGCTCAAGACTGAAGGCCCTGGGTTTGAATCCCGCGAGCGGGATCGTGGATGCACTCTGCTGAGGAGTCCTACAATAGGAAGAATCGGCTGTCCAGTTTTTCCAGGTTTTCAATGGTGGTCCAACATCAATCGGTTCATGATCTCAGTCAAAATCTAACAATCTCCACAACCCCTATACTGATGATGATAAGTTATGCATGTGCGTTTCTTCTATTCTTATGTTCTAATTTTTTTCTGCTCTTACAGTAAAACTATCTCATATCATTATTAAGATATAAATAGTGAATTCATAAATACACTTAACTCACAGAGTACATAATTGTACTGCAACAAATCAAAATAATTAAATTTGATACGCATTTCATTTTCTATTTACTTCCATTCCAAAGATATTTTATAAATGTTCTTATACTTTTAGCGAAAAAAATGAAAATAATTACTAGGGTTAACTTCTATAAGTGATTTTCTCCGGAAGTCAATAACATTAACGATATGTTGAAGCATATATAAAGCCTTCTGGTATTCATTTTGTTTTCTTAGAAAAACGTTAATTAGATGCTTTAAAAATTTAAAATTTATTTATTTATTTATTTATTTATTTAAATATGAATGAAGACATTATTTATTGAAGATGTAGATAGATACCATCCTTCAAAATGGTATAATTTGCTTATAAATGAATCTGAACACTTCACATTGGTTTTGTTTCAGTAAAGCATTTCTATGTTTATTACAAAATTGACTTTCTGTTAGACATCATTACGGTAATCGGTTTACTTGTGCCTGTTTTTAATAGTATTCTCTCTACTATTTGAATTCTAAGTAATTTCCACTAACTTGGAAACTGAACATTTGATATGTCATTCTTTTATGTTGGTTAAGTTTTAGTAACATCATTAAATTAGTGACATTACAATGGTTTTACAACCTACTATTTTCCTGAACTTTTTCAATGTTAGTTAAGAAATATCCAAAAGGATTTGTTCTGTTGAATATTTACTCAATTATCTACACAAAATCTCGTCAAAATATCCATTTGGATATTTAAAAAAAGCACCATTGAAAATTAATCATTTTATCCACTCTTATTTAGTTATTCGCATAAACACCTTTGATTTTTATCAAAATGGAGATTTGTGGAGATTGTAGTAATTTTAATAGTTGAATTCATGAGTTGATTGGTGTTAGACCACCACTGAAAACCTGGAAGCATTGGACGGCCGTTTCATCCTCAGCATTGCGTATCCAAGGTGCTACACATGTGACTCGAACCCAGGAAAATGGATGGAGGATTGCGCAAGACCATGAATCGAATGAAGTTAGATGCCTGCTCAGAGTCTAGAGTGTAAGCGTTCGCGTTTGAGACTGAAGGTTTTTCTATGATAAAATAATCCCTATCATAGATTGTACTCATACTAAAGTAATCAAAGAAATAATATTGTATCAAATAAAACATGAAAAGGCATTTAAGGCTCAATTTTTAATAGATTTCAAAGTTAAGTTCAATTACTTGATTTTATTACACTTTAACATGAAAAAAGAATCACTCTAAACACACATTCGCAATATTATCTTGTAAGTTGATACAAACACGAAATAGTGCATTGAAAGTATGAAAATAATTTAGAAAGATTTCATTTTCATTTGTACAATCACCAAATCAATGCTATTGATTGTAAGTATCATTTCTCAGACAAGACACTCGAAAATTGTAAAATATCAGTTGTTTGTCATTACATCATTTAGAATCAATATTTTGATCCTTATTTAGTTAAGCATAGTACAAATGTGACGAATATTCATTTAGGCTTAAGAATCCGATTGGCTGTTATTGGGATGGCTTCTATTAATCATGTGAAACAAGTAAGCAAAAGTTTTCTGTCAGTGAAATGTGATTAAAACAATATCTCAGATTATGACCAACTTAAATTTAGTTATCGATGTGACAAATACCTGTAAGTGGAAAATGATTTTCAATTTGAATTGACTTTTGTATAACCTATTAAAAAATAAGTAGTCTCATATATTAAGTTATTGAGTCATTTCTGAAGTACACACACACAAACCACCATCTCCCCAATCTATAAGGCCTAAAAATGTGGTCTAGTGATTTGCACTTCAACTTTCGAATAATTTTACTAAAATAACGAAGACTGTCTTTGTAAAATCTCAGCAAATGAATTTGAAAGAAATCCAATGTTTCACTTGTCGATCTGGTCAAACATCAAAATTTTGATATTTGATTATAATTCCTTGGACCAGATTGCCAGGCGGAACACTGGATTTACTAAACCTATGGGCTTAATTTATATTATTAAATATAGGTAAACAATCCTTGTTTATTTGAAATAATATTCCCTATGTGTCTGATAAAATAATCGATAATAAATGGGATTGATTACTTCAGTTAGTGATAAAGAATAATAAGTACATTTGTGTTCAGTATTTTTAAATGAATCTGAGTCGACTGTCACTATATTGGTAACATTTTGTACAATAAAAACTTATGATCCAGTATTTCTTGTACTGTCAAATTCAAAAAATCCAAACGTAATATAATATCAAACTATTAATTGATCTTCTTCAGTCACCCTTGAAATTAAATATGAACACTTACGTAAAGATATGCCAAAAACTAATAAATGATAATTCCCAATTTTTTTAAAGGGTCGATAATGTCGTTTGAATACTTACTAGAATTAATTGAGTTATATTAAAAACATTTGAAGTAATACTAAATTTCAACTGTACCTTAGTCATAGAAATGCTTATAATAAAAACAAGGAACTGCTTTATAGATTAAACGAATGATACACAGATGAAAACACTACACTTAAACAAGTGAGTAAAATGATGTTTGATAAAATCATGGAATCAGTGATAGCCCCACATTACCAATATATTTAAACTTCATCTGTCATAAACTTTTGATTCGACGTCAAGTATCTTTCTCAAAGGCAATCACTTTCGAGCACTTGATCATCGAAAGATATATTTAGAGCTTATAAATTATTGGTTTTATGGGTCTTTTATCCAATATAATTCTTTTCACTGTCATTTACACTTTCGCTCGTTACAAATGTGATCGATAGAACTTTATAACGGGTGGACACTAGAAAACATAGTAATTAAAACCCGATTGTTGATTGGATTAAATTTTAAATAATCCACATGTTTTAATTGCCAATAGAACAGCGGTTTAGAACACATCCTTATTTTTCAAAAATTATTTTAAAAAATTCGTTCATTATCACTGGTCAAAGTCAATATGATTAGAAGGGAATTGTTGGGAACTTCATTATGGTTGTCACTGCTTTTTGAAAACTTTCATTATATTAACATGACAAAATAGTTAATCTTGTACTAAATAAATATATGTCAATATTATATTCTGACTAGTTCACTCAGTTTGTGTAAATTGTCAATTAAATTAGCAGGACATTCTACATAATTGATGAAGTTTCAAGAACAAAAGATAACTTTCCGAAACGTTAAAGTGTATTACGAAAAATATTTACTCAAAAATACAATTAGATTGCTTATTAGTGATATTGTTGTACTAAAAATCTATAAACAAAGCTTGTACCAAAACTAAAAATATAAGCAGTTAAGCGTATAGTTTAGGCGGTCATTGGGTGATTTTTACAATGTTTCTTCTATAACAATGTCAGAGTATTTTATGATCACATGTTCTTAGCTTAAAGATTTCCATATATGGACTGGATTAATGGTTTTCTCTCTCGAAGGTAGGCAGATGGTATGTTTGTTCATGTTCGAAACACTGAAATGTGAAAAAATTCTTCAGAAATAAGATTCAAAAACGTTTTTCTGATAATAGTACTTAGCGAAAAATGAACTTTAATGTGTTTTCATTAGACACAACTAAAACTGAAAAAGTATTGAATTCGAGGATTCATTTTTATCTAAGGATCGAAAAAGCTACCCCATCATGTCAGAGACCCACATAACTATACTGGGTCATTGTATAGTGTATGCTACTTATGTTTTCCGATATAAGTAGTTGGAAGTGGAATGTGCGCGAGTAGAAAACTGAGAAGTTCGAAATAAAGAGAATAGTGACGGGACATGAAAGCACTCAAGATAATAAAAGGAACAAAGGAACAATGAAGCTTGTAAGAGACAATTCAAAGACGATCTGCAAATGATGTATTTGATGTATGATTTTCACATTTTATTACACCACTATGTGACTGTGCATTAAACAAGATTGGTCTTCTCCACTTGACTGTATGTTGACTGCAATGGTAAGAAATGGTTTCAACTTATCACAAAATAAGTGTGAAACAGAGACACCTTGGATGACTTCAATAACTTTTAGATCGTATGTTAGGTATAAAAGTAGATCAAAGAAAAAGAGAGAACTTGTTATTTTTTTTACTGTTAAACTACTTTCCTATTAGCATTTTTAAAAATTTAAAATCGTAACTAATCTCCTTTTTACTGTCGTTTTCATCATTTTTACTGGTATTATACAATAAAGGTTTTTTACCTTCTACATTCTTTCATCATTGTTAAGACAAATTGTTTTGACGTTTACTTTTATTTGCCTAATGAATTTACAATTGATATATTTTTGCCCTTAAATGTTGTTTTTGTAAATCATTATCACACCTTAATTCGGCTTGTTGAATTTGATAATTCGATATAATTTTAGCTTTCATTCTATAAGAAACAATGAAAGTGATATATATGTATATAGATAAATATATACGTGTATATTCCTCACTTGATAAGTTCAAAACAAATCTATTCAACTCAATTTCCTCCTCATTCTTTAATACTATATTTGTTTACATACCTTCTTTACGAAAAACATGGCAAAGAACTGGCATTATACTAATGTATATACGCATTTATATTCATTTGTTCATGTAAAAGCATAATAAAAGCAAAAGATAAAACAAATAAACATAAATAAACGTCACTTATCTGACTCACCGTCTTCTATTTATGATAATAAGAACGAAATTAGTTCGTCTAAGTCGTTAATGAATTCTTTATTCTTTAATTCTCAAGCTAAGTTACATAGATAATTATAACATTGTAGATAACGAATATAATCACACATTTATTTAAACTTGAATAGATGAAAAGCAGGTATTGAATAATATCAATAGACTGTGAACAACTTACCATCGCTGAGTTTGTTTTATTTAATCTATTTCTCTAGAAATAATCTGTTGTGATGTTTTTGAACATATAAAGAAATATGTATTCTAGAATCATCTATTGTCTTGAAAATTCTGTTGAAAATGCATATGAAGAGGAACGGTACAGTGTAAAAAAAGTTTATACTATGTTAAATCATCTGACAGACCAGAAACAAAACGAAAAAGCACCTTATACTACCATTGAAAGTCATATTTATTGGATTAAATTCAAAAACCGTAATAGCTTTGTTTGAGATCGGAAATATACTACTTATAATAAAGTGTCATTCATCACAAAAGTATGTGTTTAGCTACTTTTATACCATTAATATGCATAAAACAACATATAATGTTTTCAATATCAAATCTTCGGAATTTACAACATGCTCCAACAGTGATGTGATACAACATTTACGGCTTTATAACTATGAAGGCTAAAGATGAAATTTATTTATATATTTTTTTAAGTATTTTGATTTACATATACTCGGTCTCATTAGGATATTCAAATCACATATAAAATATACTCTTTTTTTAAAACACTAGGCTTTCTCATTTCACACTTATTCATCTACTATGATCGATCATCATCGTGGTTTGCTAATCAGTGATGTCAATTTCTTAAAATTAGGTTTTTACTGCACTGATGTATGTGTTCGTTTAATAATTTGTGTGTTTTCATGACGCCTGACAATGAAACAGAAGGAATTTCGAAGCTTTAATTAAAACCTATTCAAATTACACTGGAGAAAATTTCTCCTACAATGTACAAATAAATCATGAAGGTTAACTTACATCAATCATTTAAATAAAGTTGAAACATTATTACTTTTAATTGTTCACTTGAGAGTCAGATTAAGTAATTTTTGGAATACAACCCTACAATATATTGACAGTGTACAGAAAGTTCATATTTGTCATTTGACAAATCACTTACTGATTTATATTTACATATTTCCAGGCTCCAATTATTTAAACAGCCATCAATCTTCGGATAAATCCAGTTTATTATTATTCATGTGTAAATTTGCTTTAAATCACACTTTTTTTGAGTTGGAAGCGTGTAATTGATCCACTCATAACTTTTTACTGATTATCTCGTTTAGACTATAAGACTCAACTAGTTGGTCTTGAAATGGGCGCTTTGAAAAGCTATGGACATTAAGATTTAAAATAAATTTTGTATTAACATTGGTAAAACTTTTAGAATCGTAATATTTTCGAAGAATACAGGAATAACGAAGTTTGAAAATAACTTTTATGTTAATCGATGAAACAATGAACAACGAAAAATATGACTTTTTACTTCGCACTGATGCTGGTCGCCATCAGATCTAGTAACGGCTGTTATAAATTCGGACCACTCGGTCGAAAATTCATGGACCCTATTACTAACTTCAGCCATCGTGTGATTCGATACAAGTAAACTAGAATTTTACCAAGTAATTTTACTCTCGAGATTCGATTTGGTTGAGTTCCGGATCAACTTATGATATTTGATGTAAAATGCGTAATGTAAATAGAGTTCACAGAAATGAACCTTTGGATTTATACAGAATTACTCATCTGTACTGTGTCTGCAGCAATGTTTGGTACTGATTTCTCATGGAGTCTTGAATGAAAATTCTCGGATAGTTCAATACCAAGATGAAACAGTTGTCTAGTGCTTCAAGTTTATACACGCGCATTTCGGCGTAGATTCACACACATATCTAAGTTATTTTAATTTGAAAACTATTTAATGATTATCAGTATAACTGTCTCGATTAGGTTATTTAGTTATTATTTAAAGTTAGTTAAGAAAAACGATTCTCTGGTAGAAAATACATTTTATATTTTAAATAATCTTTTTATCTGTAGACTGCATTAATATATATATATATATATATATATATATATATATATATATATATATGCTTATTTTGAATGAACCGTAATTAGCATTTAACCGTCATGGACAAATTTCTATCGAAACTTTTAACGTTCAGGTCTTGGCTTCTCAGTAGTTCATAGTTATGACTTTTAAGTCATAAATCGACCTCTGAAATGCTGTGGTGGAAGACTATTGAATAGTCTTAACTAAGTATAACATGTCGCTCTAAGGCTAATTATTTTATAATAATTCTCAGATTGGTATTTTTTTCTGGTATAGTTTCGTCATAAATGATTAATAAATATCTCGATCTATGGTATTGATTTCACACGTTCTAAAGTGGAGATTTTTCTACAGTCTACAGTAAAACATAGTCACCTTGAAGTGAATGCTCAAAGAAATCAAGATTACTTCTCCTCATCATTGACTAAAAAATTCAATCCCATCTAATGGTAAAAACATGAATTAACTCATAAATCAATAAATACATTGTACTTATAACAAAACTCCCTTTTAGTCTATCCATGTCACATTCTTGAATATGTAAATATCAACAAATTATTAAATAACAAACTAAAAGAATTGAAGTTTATAACTGAAAAACAAACTCAATAATACATAGTTTCTTCTATATATATATATATATATATATATATATATATATATATATATATATATATATATATATATATATATATATTAAATAATACAATTAGAATAATAAAGTCTATCAAAAATTATATTATATATAAGCGTATTACATTTCAATATAATCTGACCACCCATTTACTTGTTCATGCTATTTATGTATAAAAAAGGTCAACTAAACAATGTGGAAGAGATGAGAAAAACAAACATCATAAACATCATATGTTTATGACTAAAAGTTTAATAAATTCAAATAGTCTTTCTGGATTACCTTAATCAGCTTTTGTAGTTTTGTATAGAAGATTAATTAGAAAATAATTTTGTAAATAAGAATATTCAGTAGTTAAAGAAAGAGAATAATTTGTTGAATAAAACAAAGAATTTAAAGTGATATTTACTAATATATGAGCGAGGGTTATTCGTAAATGCTCGTAGTTCAAGTATGTAAAAGAACAATACAACCTGTCGACGAAACATGGATTGTCTGGTAAATAAACTAAACACTTATATACAATATATTTTAACAAAATAAACATGATTAAGATTCATCCCAAGAGGCAGTGATTATTACAAACTAATCTTTTATGTTATTCATGAGTCTACGAAATTAAATGATAATTATCAGGTTTTCTTATTGTTGGTCACATTGAAATCTTGAAGCATTTTTGACGAATATCAAGATTTAATTCAATTGTCAGATCCTTATAGTTAATATCTCAATAATTCGTAGACAGTTGACAAATTTCCAGTATCTACCAAGCGTTATTTTCCCAAATTCATATAACTGATGAAGTTGTAATTCATATAAACAATTCATTTATGCTTTTATTGATCTCATTTGTCAAGACTTACTTGCAGTCATATTTTTATGTTAAACTAGTTATTACTTTTCAGGGTAACACGCATAAATCAAGGCAACTGAGTGGAATATATGAAAGCACTGTTGATAAACCCATAGTTCAACGAATTGTTATCAGAGGTTTTCTTCATCTAATCATCTGTCTGATTTTTGAATCCATTTCAGAAACGTACAACATTCATATTCGATAAAAAAAGGTTGGATCGAATCAATAAAAATCGGAGACAAGATTTAATTTTGCAAACATTACGGAATGATTTGATAAATTTAAACAAACTGAAACATCCACGTTTTATACAACTAATACATGATATTGAAGAAACTAAGTAAGCAAAACAAAAATTAGTATATTTGTCAATTTGTTTATAGTTTTGCTTCTTTTCTTTTTTGTAGGAAATTTGAAAAAAAGAGCCATAAATTCAAAATATTAAACATCATTCTATTTATTTGAATTTAATTTGTTTTGTCTAGATTATTTTTTGTCAAAATAATCATACTTTATGCGACTAATTTAATTACATGTGTACATGAAATTTATGTCTAGATAAAACAAATTGTTGTGACTAAACACCATCTCATTCCTTTTTCGTCAAAGTTCATAATTTTTTTGCTTTCCTGAATTAATAGGTTTACAGTATAAAAATAGAGTAATTATATTTTTATGGAAAATAAATTAGATGCGAATTCAAAGTTTTACATTGATGAAAGCCGAGATTAAAACGCTTTTTTTTAAAATAAAAATATTGTGATTTGACGGATTAATATGATCTATGAAGAAACGTTCTTTTTCCTCGTATAACTGGAATTCATTATTTAATAATATCCTACTAGTATTAACTTCGGTCACTCAAAATAATAGATAATATAATACAAAGTTTGATAGTGATGTGCCTACAGTGCAACTTTATATTTAGAAATCATACGAATCAAGGGAGAAGAAAAAATAAACTTATATACAATAATTCTAGCACCTAAAACAAATAAAAAAAGTGTAAAATTCACTTGATGTTTTTTTGTTTTTATCCATCCATTGTTGTTTCAAGACAGCAATTGATCAGTCTCATGTTCGTATATGTGCATCCTGTGCGAAATGCCTCGATATTCCCTCAATTTACAAGCTTTATAAGCAAAGATGGATAGTGGCTAGCAAAGAAATGCAGGACGCATGTTTCGTGCTATTTGACGCTGGTCAGATGGATGTGCCTGCATCTCACAGTTGATGTTCACTGTGGCACTCGAACCCAGTACCGTTCGCTTCAAACGCCATCGCGTTATCCACTCGGCTACTGAGTACTGATAGCCACCTGCTTGTGCAATCGGGTGAAGTTGTATTCACTCGGTGTTGTTTTACTTGTATCTTCCCATTGTTATTTAGGACTGCAATTGATCAGTCTCATGTTGACATATGTGCATCCTGTGCGGACTGCCTCGATATTGTCTGAAGTCACAAGCTTTTTAAGCAAAGATGGGTAGTGGCTAGTAGTGGAATGCAGGACGCACCTTTCGTGCTAATTATGAATGGTCAGCTGGATGTACCTGAATCCCAAGAGTTGATGTTCACAACAGAGAATAATTTCTATGTTGTTTACAATTTACATGATGGGTTAATTTTAACTGATTAAAATATCGATTAACTTATAACTTGGTGAAAGAAATCAATTTACTTGTAGTAAAAGTATCAAGAAAAGCGTTACTATCAACATAAATATCTGATACTCATATCGTGTGCTAAATCTCTTCAGTATTCAACCGCCTTGAAAAAACAAGTATATTAAGTATAAATGCACTAAAATATCAATGATGATTTCTGTTTTCATTTTGTTGCGCTAAATATTCTTTAAACAAGCTTAAATTTGGTTAGGAAAATTAAAAACTTTCACACAATACTTTTGTACAACAGAAAACAGATTTTAAACAATATTTGATTGGACTACAAGTACCATACATTTATCAAGGAATCATAGTATATTTCATTTAGTAAGAATATACAAAACTGTCAAACCTATATGAACTAAACAATAATTCCAATGTTCATTGTACTATATTGAGTGGGGAGACACAATAAGTTCTAAAAGATTTTAAAATGAAGTTTAGATACAAAACAGAACAAAAATTATTGAAAGAACATTCACAAATAACTGAGCCGCAAACAATTTTTCTAATGACTTACTTTTAAGATTAGTTTAGGTAATTCCAGTTTTTAGTGTTCTAGACGATGAGGTGAGAAATATGTATATCTTTGAAAGCTTGTTCGGGACGATGTATCCCCAAAACTCATATTTGTAACTCTATCATATCGACTAACTTATCGATTTAACGATTGAATACCAGTCAATTGACGAACTTATCGATTAAATATTTGAATACCTGTCGATTGATGAACTTATTGATTAATGTTTAAAAACATTTTACTATGACAATATCGATTGTAAATATTTGTATAAATATGCTTGACTTGTGTGCTTAACCTGACCTGACCTGATATCTGCTGTTTGCCTGTAGAATACACTTTCTACGCCTTACCAAGACTTCTTGATCGCGTTAGCTGAGTCGGGGACAACGGACCAGAATAGTCTATCGAGATTCCGAATCCCTTGATCCGACCGACAAGTCACCGTCCTATAGTCGACGGCCCCCTTTGAGTTATAACAAAGCTGTAAAAAGCACAGAAGTTTTGAATATCTTGGGTGATTCTCATGCTAATAAGTAAATAAACGTTTCATGAATTTCACCGGTTGAAATCATGAGTCAGTTGAAGCTAGACCACCATGGAAGACTTGGAAGCACTGGACGGCCGTTTCGTCCTAGTATGGGACTCCTCAGCAGTGCGCATCCACGATCCTACACCTCGCGAGATTCGAACCCAGGATCTTTCAGTCTCGCGCCAGGCTCTTAACGATGAATTATTAAGTCTAGAAAAATTATTGTTTTCTAGTAAGCAATTCAATTAATATTATAGTTGCGTAGAAATTACGCATCTAGACAACTGAATTGAGATTAAATTGTAGCTCACCAATTTTTCCTAGTCATAGAAAACATTAGAACGTCATAGACTACTATTAAATACAAAACTATGGTCACTGGCTGAAATCCTTACATGTTTTCTTTTAATTTATATACGAGCTCCAACTGCTCTTAAAAGTACGAAAGAATAAAATAAATGACCATAGTTGATTTTGCTCTATTCATTACATAACAACTACTGTAAAATAATAACGCTTTAGTATTATCAAAGTTAATAAATGATTAATTTCAGTGATTCAATTCAGTCACAAAAAGTGCACAAAAACGTGATCGTTAGTGCCATATAAAAACAATATTTTTAAAATCCATACAGTCTCCTTAAGTGATTCAAAAGGGTGGTGGTATAACAATTCGGTGGTTTATTTTTGGTTTAGTCACATTATACTCACTTCCAAAATTGATACATGTGACTTTGTCTCTGGACCTGGAAACACTGTAAAGCTGATGGGTGAATACGTTTGCTGAGATTTAATTCAGCCCAAAATGTCACACCATTATTGTTTTAAAGAATATGTTGTAATTAAGATTTCTGTTACACATTTTAAAAAGTATATTTTTGTACGGAACTGAAAGGTAGTTTCTTTTAGTTTGCGCTAACAAATATGGCACAGTAATATTTATTTAGGGGATTTTTCGCGATGCATATCAGATAGTGGAATAGGTTTAATTCATAAGACAAGTTTATTCAAAATATACTATAAATAACTCAAGGGTACAAATCATAATATAAACGAAGAATAAATGAATTACTTAAACAAACAGTGAGCAACCCTACTTTGTAAATTTCAAAAGCAAAAAACTAGTAATCATCCAAATAATCTAGTTTACAATAATAAGACATCTAACATGAAATAGTCAGTTTTTCTCGCAATTCATCGATCACTAAATTAGCATTAGTATGTGTTTTTAGCTAAAATGATAACAATAATCAGCCTTACAGGTTTTCTTCTCCTACTAAAAGGCAATTATTTCAACAAACATCAATGCAATCGACTAGTAGAAATGTTCCTTCTACAATGAATTAGATTATTGCTTGTAAAGTCCACATGAATGTAAATAAAATCGTTCAAATTTTTCAACTATAAAAAAAATTCTACTTCTCAGAAAGTAAATAGCCTATTGAAGTCAATATTCAGTTGATTAAACAAACTAGATCTCATAGTCAGTCCAACCGAACCTCTAAACATAGAATTACATAAATGCAAAATCAATATTTACTGTACCATTTAGTTTAAACAAGCATCATAAAGACAAAGTTTTATATCACATAGGTTTTGTGGATATTATAGTAATTTCAATGCTTAAGATCATGAGTCAGTTGAAGCTAGACCACCATGGAAAACCTGGAAGCACTGAATGGCCGTTTCGTTCCATTGTGGGACTCCTCAGCAGTGCGCATCTACGACCTTGCCCCCTGCTGGTATCGCGCTGGTGAATAGCTTCAGGTCTGCTCTGAGATAGTAACTCACTGAAGACAGTTGTGGATGTGTCGCTCAATTTCGTGGATTAGTTGAAGTTAGACATTAACACCGTTGGATGCCGGCTCAGTGGTCTAGTGGTTAAGCGCTCGCACGCAAGACTGATAGGTCCTAGATTCGAATCCCGAGGGGTGGGATCGTGGATGCACACTGTTGAGGAGTACCACAATAGGACGAAACGGCCGTCCAGTGCTTCCAGGTTTTCCATGGTGGTTTAGCTTCAATTGACTCATGATCTTAACCATTGAAACAAAGTGTTACGTTTAGTTTATTCACAATTATAAAATAAATTTTTATATCACGATAGATTTTGTTTGAATCTCTGCTTATTTGATTCTTACTTTTGTTTCATTTCCAGTGAATGTCTCACTTTTATAACTGAGCCAGTAATAGGAAGTTTAGCAGACATGTACATAAATGATCAGGTACGTTTAAAATATATGACATTACCATTTCACACTAATTCGAACATATTTTTTTCTCGTCTAGAAAAATGACTAATTAAATCATGTGTTAAGCTCCAAAAAAAAAAAATTGATTGGAAAAAATCGATTTTAGAAAATGAAAAACCGACTAAAAGACTTGGAATTAGAGTTGAGTACTTGCATGTCAACAAAGTGCCCACTGTTATAGTCTTTTTAAAATGAAGGATTCACGTCACTGTTTATTTTATTTTAGTAACATCAATATATTGTATTGAAAAATAATTCATTTCAAGGTTATGATAAGTTCACCACTGACTGATAGCTGTATTACCAGTCTTAAACTATAGATAACCGTTGAAATTACAGACCTCTAGTAAATATCATAAGCCATCGAAAAATCGTATATACTGCTAGATGTTTACGATTATTAATAAGAGAGAACAGAGAATATTATGTTCCTTGTCTGTAATTAATAACTAGATATTCTCCATAATGAACTAACAACGTCTATTCATAATTCATGAATTTATTCATAAGGACAATCATTTCAATCAAATGACTAATATTTTCAGTTTCCTTATTAAAATATTTTTCAGTGAGTAAATGACCTCTTAAAATAATTTTAACTAATTAAATGGATCATTGAAACTTTATAAAATAAGGATAAGCATTGTTATACAAGAAACATTATTGATCAAGTGGTTGTTTGAAGAAAAAATAAACACTGTAGTATAAGAAAGAAATGAATGCAAGTATCTGAAAGGGCTGTCTACTATTTTTCTGAGATTAGGTTTAAATTAATGAAACCATAATAACATCTAATTGACGATATATGAAGAAGAAAAGAAAGGATCTGTTAAACTAACGGTTTCAATTTATTTCAAAAGAAATTTCGCTTAAATAATCTAACTATTATATGTGAAAATTATATTTGAAATAACCCCAGCGATTGAACTTTAAATAATTCCAACGTTTTGTCCGGCTAACTTGTCTGGACTTCTTCAGGGTAATAATCGAAACAAAACGTTGGCATTATTTAAATTTCAATCGCTGAGATTATTTCAAATATAATTTTCACATATAATAACTTATCTTTACTCGGCGCTCAATTTCTGTCAAACTATTCGTTTTAATCTTGACAAATATTCGTATAAATCTAACTATTGTTTAAATTTATAGTATTCCATGAAAAATAAGAACATACCAACTATTTAGTACATTGATAAACTTGAATTTGTAATACAGTTCCAATTATCTGTCTTACCTTTATTTTTAATAGGATTCGTCTTTTTGTGAATTAGAGATTATATTTGGAATATATCAGGTAATTTGATTCAACATAGATTATATCATTTCATATACTTTTACGTATGATTTTTAAAATATCACAATAATGAGGACTAAATTTTAGAGTTCATGTATAATACCCTAACGAGTTTACTAATAACAGTATATTTTATTAAGAAAGATTGTGAAATTAGACAAGTTCTCAATAACGGGATGACGAAATATTTAATTTATGCTCAAGATATATAGAATGTAATTCTTCTTTAAACTAGTCTAAGCTTTTAAAAATCATGTACCATTCAGGAACACCAGATGTGTGTGACAGAACAATAGTACCATCTCTAATTAATATCTGAAATCAAGTTATTTGTTTTTTGCCTAAATTTTCGTCTGGTGGTACTATTAAAGGTTTCTTTTGCATTTAAAGCACATAGTATATATAAACTAAATTGTGAACAGTGTGCTCAATATTGTCACTTGTTGACTAAAGTCACTGACATTTTAGTTGCTCTGATGCCCCTAGTATTGTTAACTAACCGAATGTTTGCTGTAGTTGAAATGTCGTACCTGATTTTTTGAACATTGGTTTTTAGATTTTCAGATTTTTTATATTTTGGTTGAGCTTAATAGCTTAATATTGTCACTAGTTGTGTCTCATTAGTTTACCGAAATTTGGCCTTTATTTTAATTCCAAGGTTGCAATGCATTATTTCGCTTTTATATTTTCTGTCATAAAATAAAAGACCTATGAAGTGTTTTTCTTGTGCCCCGTTTGAAGTGATGATAATCTGAAGTGCGAAACAGTTGATTATTATTATTATGCAAAATTAATAGTTCAAGATACAAGATGATTGAAAGTTGTTTGGAAAAATCCCTGGACCTTGGTTCATGATAGTAGGCACCTGTCCGCAGGGTACATCTGTAATATTGGGGTAATTAATGCTCCCTGACACATTCAATCCTTGTCACCCAGCTTCAGAGTCAGAGGGGTTACCACTGAACTACTTAGACCGTAACTAACCTATGATAAGACTCGGATGCACATACAGTTGATCGACCACTGAGTGGTGCGCACATCAAAACATGACTAACAGCAATCCGTCGGTACTAAGACGAACTTGATGTACACTAAATCAATCTCTACTCAGCGAACAATCACTTGAAAATTCGAGATACATTCTTCGTTTTGATTATCCTATTTTGATATTTGCTCGCTAATTCTATTTTTCATATACCGTAACATTTAAAAACCTTTACAAATTCACCTAACTACTTAAAAATTTTTTTACAAATTGATAACTTCATACAGTATGACATTTTGATATACCTTAATCCCATTGGAATGAACTATACAAGAATAATGTCAGTACTCCAAAACTCATTCTATACCAATAGAATGAGACTGACTAATTTTCACTAACGCATACAAAATACCTACAATCTTAGTTAGAAACCTTTCCGACCTTTTTTTTCGATGAAGCTTTGAAGAAAACTCTCTTACATCAAGTAATGACAAGTTTTTGTATGATGAAATAAAATAGGGATGTAATTCATTTGTTGACAAGGTACGGTACACAATTTTTTTGAATCACAACTATAGTTTATGTAAGGCCTCAATAATGAATGTTGTTCATGAATATTTCTTTTTCAATATAACAATGAAATGTTAGTAAGACAGAAAGTTCTACTTTCATGATTATGGTGTACAAAGCATGACAAAAAGGCGGTATATTGACCGGTATGATATGTATTCATTTATAGTTCATTAATTTTCACATAATAATCCAAAAATGAGTGTATTGAGAACAATGCTGAGTCGTAACATGAAATTTACTCAAAACGTTCGTAACTATGGGAGAGTAGAAATGAAGAGAATGTAGTGTATTTTGGTTATGGCAGGATTTGTTTCCAGTCATATTCAGAGGCTATTGCAACTAAATAACCTATTTAAAAGAGAGAACTACGCCATAAACCGTCTTTATCATCCCTATGTTATTTAGTTTTAATACATCAAGTAAACAGCTATTCACACTAATCTAAGATACTCACATTACTTATCTTTGTTGCGTTTATTAGTTTTCATTACGTTCCAAGGCAAATATCAAAAATACAATAAGTGATGTTCCTTATGTTTCTTAACACAACTTATTTACATTTCTTTAGAGACATTAGCTTTCTGTGTTCTTTCTACGTAATACACTTCACACCTCCCTTTTCTTAATATTCACCTCACAGACTGTTTATTTGACCGGTTATCCTACTACATGAATTCAAAAGCTACAGAATTTAAAGACGATGTCTATTCAACAAGTCACAATATTCGACCATTGAGTCGCGGACATATGAATGCATTTGCTGAAGCACTTATCAATCATATGATAATAACCATACTTTTTTCATGGATGGATGAACCGATTTCTTTTCTAGCATACTTCGCTAGAGCAACCTCTCCGTTATTTGACAAAGACTTTGAAGTGTAGTATACATTGACCTGCTTTCATGCAAACCACTATACAATTGAATTACTGAATTTGATCGGTTATTTAAAATTTGCACAATTTATAATTACCGTCATAAAAATCAAAATTGATGTAAGTTATGTTGTGTCTTAAGAATAAGTGAACAGTAAGACTAAGAAATTATTTTAGTATGACTTGCATGATATCTTGGTTCATCAATATAAAATTGGTACTATTCTTGCCGTCATATTGGATAAAAGACAACTCTGCCATTGGATTCTTTGGACGTCATCACATAAAGTTTTTTTTAATTTTTTATTTCCATAGACTACTCATTGGTTTAAGTATAATTTCCCTATCGACTCCAGTGACTTAAACACAGTTGGATAATGCAGTTGAAGTACTAAAACGTTACAGCTCTAAACTAGACAAATTTATAAATCTCATTCATCACATATTAGTACTTATATTAATTGTCATAGAGTATCATACTTATTGTAAGTACAACACTATCGACTGCAAAACTTATTCTGTTTATTACATCCTGAGACATGTATAATGAAATAAATAGGAATTAAGTTAAACGATTACATAGCAACTTATTATCATTTCTTTTCATCTAGATTACAGACGCACTAAGATATCTTCATAGTACCCAAGAATTAATGCATTGTAACATAAATACGGCGTCAATCTTGTTGGTTAACAAGAGTATATGGAAATTGGGTGGATTGAATTTTCTAGAAAAGATTGTTGACACCACAAAGGTAATTTGAATCACTGTATTAAAAATAAGTTTGATGACTGATCTTTTTACAATGTTAAATTATATAAAATGCTTCATGTCAATATCCTATATAACACATTGATAATGGGAAAAAGAGGTTCAAATAATTAAACCGAAATTCCAAATCATTAGGTAGATAGTATCATCAGGTAGATTGAGTATCGAATTTCTTAAACATATATCGGCCTAAGTAAAATAAATGAATTAGTTAGATTTACTGTTACAAATCTTTTAGGCCGAAGAATATGATATTTATCATCAAAAATTGTTCTATCATCTTTGTGATTTCAAAGATCATTGTTCAAAAGAGGGAAGTCAAATTGCTAAAGAATTTAAGACACATATCTTTGATACAAAAGATAAAAAAACCTACTGCATCAACTATTCCCAAAGTAACTTTATTCTCCTATTTGTTTCCAGTCGAGCTAGGCCATATTCGATCACGTTTATTCAAATCCAAATAATCATCTGAATTCATAATTCATAGTGGAATCAAAATGCAAGCATAAACTTAAAAAAAAACATGGATTGTACATTGAATACAAATAAATGCTCAATGCTTTTTAACATAAAGTTACTTGGTTTACCATTATACATTGTTTTCAAGAACACAAATTACTGTTGTAATTGTTGTATGTTTATTTTCAACCTTATTTTGAAGTCTCCTAAGTGAATAAAATTTCGTTTGGCACTGTCTTAATAGTAACAAGATAAACTGGAGAAAGGTAAACTTTAACACATTATCAAAATAAAATATAGCGTAACGCTTTTATCAATGGTATCATTCATTGCACAAATGAATTTTCAGGAAACAATTTAAGAAATTATGTAACGTTTGCAAAGGTTTTAAGGCGGTACATAAACAGCTATTGTCACAGTGATTACATACAATTTTACTAAAAAAGAACCACACCAGATTCCTTGATTTCGACTATTGGTATAATAATTCATGATGCCTACCTGTGGATTTCTGCAATTTCATGATCGTTACTTTGCATTGTATAACACTAATTAGTACAATATTCGATGACATTATATTGCGAAGAAAATGTCGACTATTTATGAGCTACTCTCAAGCACATTCTGTTAAAAGGTGATAAGTGCCAACTAATCTTGTTCAGAAAATCATCGTTAACAATTTGCATTTCTTACCCCTTCATGGTTATGGTATTTTATTTCGCTTGGCATACTCATTCAGTTTGGTTGATAAGCCTACTGGTCAACATCCGTTTATGCAAGCCTCAACCCTGATCAGAAAGATTTGCAACTGTAGTAATATATCTTAAGTATGAATTAATAAAAACCGCTTCATCATTGATAAACTGAATTAAATGTAATTAAAGGTTAACACGAAACTACTACTTTTACTCAAGCATAATAAATCATTAAAATTGATTTTCATCTAAAAAAATAAAAACTAACAACTTCGTTGAAAAGTAGGTAACAACAAACTTTGGAAAAATGTTTTGCGACATATTTTTTAAAAAAAATTACCATCAGTAGTAAAAATAGAATACAGCCCAGTAAAACTTTAAACATCAATTCCTAAAATATACTTTAGTGTTTGTTTCAGTTGAATTCTGACAAGAAGAATAGATCGTCATCTTGTCATTTATAAATAACTTCTAAAACAATAATAGATTGTTCATTTTCGAAATGATTGAAAATCTGACTATTTCAACTAAGTGATTAGTCAGAGTTTTCATAATAATAATAATAAGTAACTTCCGGTTGAAGTGTTCATTTGTCTTGCTTGGATTAAAAAACTTTTGACAACTTTGTTGTATCGCGAACAAAGCACTAAGAATCAGTGAAGTTAAATAATGCGTCCCCAAAGGAATTCCTCAAAATCTTTATTCCGTTATTTAAATATAACCTTCTCAGAACTCATGGATAAATGTCAAATTGTCTCTTAAAATCATTTGGTCTTTATTGATGAGTTTATTCTCTGAGTGAGCATTTAGCTCACAAAAAGCAATACACTGTTGAAATGATCTTATTGATTCATCTGCAACGGATGTCAATCAGTAACTGAATACCTTCATGGCAACACTAAGTGCTGTCGATTTAATCTTTTAGGCTGCTATGAAATTTAAAATGTTTTAAAACCTATGTATTCACATACATCGAAGTCAATAAAAGTTAGGATTCATTAGTTGGCGCATCAAACATGCACGTGGACCTTCTCACTTTCTAGAGCCACCAGTTTTCCTGGCCTGAACTGACATTAATTTTTGTATTATTTATAAAAACCTGTAAGCTTATCAAGTATGTTTGATTGAGCTTTCATAAAATGTTAAGAACACATTTCAAACATAAAAAGTAACACCACAGGAACAGTGTACTTTCCTCCTCCTCTAGTGAATGAATAATACAGTATTCAGAATCACAGGAACAAACATGAACGTAAACATTTACAAATGGATGTGATTTGGCTACTGATCAATATTTGAAACGTTTTTATACGTATTTTTTAAATATCCCGCAGTTACATAAGAAAAGAACTTATTGCTATGACTGTCCAATTTCAGTGCTTAGGATTCTTAATTGTACTCAAACATGGACAAGTATCATCAATATTATACATAATATATATATATCCAAGATGTAGAAAAGCATGTCATTTGGAATCTTATCTTCATAACAAATAATATAATCTAGTCATTTTCTATAATCTACGTTAACACGGTAAAAAGCTTTCTAGTGAAAAATAATTTAAGTTCTTAACGTCAAAAATTGAGTGAACAAAAAACTTATATTAGTATACGGTTATGGAGATTATTGAGTTTTGTTGAAATCACGAAGTGATAAATGTTAGACCACCATTCAAAAAAAGTGAAAGCACGAAAACGCCACTTCGTCCTAGTGTCGGACTCCTTAGCAGGGCCCATCCACGATTCCGCACACTGTACTTGAACCCAGGACCTTCGGCTTGACGCACATTCACCTGACCTCTAGACTACTAGGCTGGCAGCTGAGTTGTCTTGGATTAAGTTTCAATAAGTACTCGCTACCAATACCTCGTTTCGACACTATTTTTTCCTAGCATAATGTGTGAAAGTAATTTAGCAAACATATCGAATCCTTATTCAGCTAAATTAATTGTTGAACTAATGGCTAAACAATGCGTACACTCGTAGATTGAATTCGTCACTTATATTTAAGTCAACTCGAGTCAATTTTATTTGAGTAGTGATTGAAAACTTGAAAGCACCGGGCATTTTTTCGCCCTATTAAGAGACTTTTTAACAGTAAACATTCACTATCCAACGTATGATCTTGCAAATTACAGTTGACCGTTAGAACCATTTAGCTGGCTTGCAATCACAGTCCCGTTGATGACAACTGTGACACGTCCGACATGTTGTAACTGGAAAAGTTCATATTTATCATCAAAAGTAAAGAGTGATCACATAAAATTGTATAAATATATAATTTAAAGTTCACAAGTATGATTGCATTAGTAATATTTTGGAAGCGATACTGTTGTATCAAAATAACTAAACAAAAAAAAAACTGTTGATTTGCTTACAAATCAGTAACCAGTACAGAAACAGTTCAAGTAAAATTCTTATCTGATTGTTCACTAAACTTCACTTAATAATAATAATAATAATAATAACAATAATAATAATAATAATAACAATAATAATAATAATAATAATAATAACCGCCAATTAGAAATACAGATGATAATGCACCTACAGAATATTAATAAACTCAAATCAGTTAACATGTGAAAATTGACTGAAGTTCCTTAACTCAGCGTTTGAAAATTAAGAACTGAGAAGTGAGGCTGAAAATATAGTTGTTGCTGGCAGAGAAACGAGTCGTAAGTCATCCATAAAAAAATAAGTTTTCAAATTTACTTTTAAATATTTTTTGAATTAATCAATGATTTGTGAACATTATGATACGTCTTCTTTATAGATAACTCCAAAGTTTACTGGATGTTCAGTTAAAGTACCAGTGTTTGCTCAACCAGATTTAGATTTTATTGCTCCAGAAGCTCAGATGTATAATTCCATGTCACCGCTTGCCGACATGTTTTCCTTAGGAATGGTAGTTTGTGCTATTCATAATCAGGGACATTCTTTGATTGACTCAGAGCAAAATCCAAATGTTTATGTTAAACAATTGCCTGAAGTAAGTTAGATTTAAATCGAGTGTATACGTCTATTTTTTTAGCATAACGGCCCATCTTTGACAGTTACTAATAAAAAGTAATCATTCTTTTAAATATTTGTTCTCTTTCCTAACATAACCTTATTACTACAAAATAATACTTCTATTTGTTATCCTCGTATGGTTATGAAATGAAGTGAAGATATGTTAGGCTCAAATATAATGCTTGAATGGTGTACTGTTCTCTGGGCTCATTTTTTCCTATTCCGCAGGCTTCACTGGTTTTTTTGACAACGTCATCAGAACTTTCCTTATAGGAAAATAGCTATTTATTTCTGATTTCATAAGCAACAAGTCAGTCCACGTAGGAATTTTATGTTAAGACAGAATTACTAACTCCAAATATATATAAACATAAATGACTAAATGATTTTTATGAACTAAAACCTTGAATAAAAATCCTTCTTTTGAAAGTAAAGTGTAAAACAGCTAGTTTTTTCAGTATGAAGTTGTCAATATTGTTGAATTTCACCGAAATCATGAACCGATCTAAGTTAGGATGTTCAGTGATCCCAGGTTTTCAGTAGTGATCTAACTTAGCTCATTTCTTGATTTCATTTAAACCAGTTGTTCTGTTCAAAAATATAGTCTAAGCTGAAAAAAATCAACATTTTCATTGCATATATAACCTTTTGACGCTTACCATAGCTTTGTAAAAGATACTAACTAGCATCTACGACAATACATGAACAATATTACTAATTGTATGTGTGATCATAGAAGAATGTTTATCAGCAGACAAGGTATAATAAAATGTTAAAGAGGAAAAGAAATCTTTCAGAAGATATCCAGAGAAGATTTTCTTGACGTGATATACAGTTTAAGTGTATTTACACCAGTTGTTGATAAAAGTCAGACGGAACAATAATACATCAACAATAGTAATTCATGTTTTCCAAAATAACGATGAGAAAAAATAACTGTACAAATTATACAATTTATTTATTTGGATAGATACAATAAATTATTTGACTGAGAAAAAATCCATTTCACAAACTGATTAATAGATATAAAGGTAAGCCTACAGTATTTTTAATAAATAAAGATGAATGGTATTTATCAGTGGAATCCAGAACACACGTTTCGTCCTATTCGGGACTCGTCAGCTAGATGTATCTGCATCATAGATTTGATGTTCACTGCTAGTCACTATCTATATTTTGCTTATAATGCCTGATACAATATCCGCACAGGATGCATATATGCCAATAAAACACTGATCAATTGCAGTCCCAAACATCAATGGGAAGATTCAAACGAACAATACAAATTGAATTTTTCATAAATGTTTATTTCATTTGTAGTCAAATGAACATCAACTAAGAATTTAATCTGTTAGAATTATTATCCTTGATATAAAGTTTGCTTTGGAGTCCTATAACAAGAGGAAAACCGATTTTTAAAAGAACATTGACAAAAAAATAAATATTTTTGCTTATTAAGTGAGAGTTTTGCCGATTTTGTTCAGTTTGTTCACAATATCAGAGATGTAAACAAACAATGAGCAACCTCAAACACTGACCACTTTTGTAAAAGGTTTCCGAAGTTCTAGTGGATAGCAGTGACTGATAAAACTTAATCATATCGAAAGTTAGTCTCTTACCATATGTAGTAGTGGATAGTAGTTGCTTATGATTGTAAATTGATTGAACATATAAATATGAACCAATGATACCAACACAGTAGTCTGAAGGTAACATGCTAACAGAGGTCCCATGTTCGGCCCTTGATGCGGTCAAAAGTGTGTACTCCTAGAGTTCTGTACTAGAAATAAACAACCGTTAAGTTCGATCTATTTAATAACTACCATCTGGCAGTTAAGTTATGCTTCTTTTTTTATCTAAACTTCTATTATCTGATCAGAATGGAGGCTTTTTGAAATTACTCAAATAATCAAACGACTAGTTATGTTGCATATCTAAGAATAACATTCACGAAACTGATTATCCACTTTTTTTCGTATTTGCATTGGAAAGTGGAATTTTTGTATTTCGTATGTACAGTGATAGTGCATGAACACTTGAGGAAATCTAAATGCGTCTATCCTAGTTTAAAATATACCTGAGATGGTGGAGAAGATTTGTAGCTCAGGTGGACGATTTTGGTGGCGTTTTGTTCTCTGAGCTGGATGGTTTGGTCGTGGAACTTTCATCGTTCTTCTAAACGACATCATCAGCACAAACTTCAGATAGAAGTGAAGTGTTCGAATTTCTCCATATATGTTTCACAGCTTGTTCTGTGCACCTCGATGTTGATTGGTTCTTATTGACCTTAAATTTATCATTGTTTACTTTGTTTTGGTTGTGTCTCCCATTTACTTGATTTTTGTTCCTATATTTATGCATGATTTTCCTGATTGGTTGATAAATTGGATTGAGTTCAATATGTTTGTTGATTGCTGATTGACCTGAGTGCCAGGCTTCTAAAAATTCTCTAGTGTTTTCGGAGTTTCCTCTGTCTAAGATTTCTACATTTTTCCAATCGAATGAGTGTCCGTAGTTATCCACGTGTATTGATATAAGTGAAGAGATATCATGGCGTTTGACTGCTGATTGATGTTCATGTAGGCGAAGGTGGAGGGAGCGTCCGCTTTGTCCGATGTAGTGTTTGTCTCAGTTGGTACAATTTATTTTGTAGATGATGTTTGATTTGTTTCCCTTTGTTATTTTATCCTTTGGTTTGCATAGGATTGATTGTAGTGATTTTGTCGGTTTGTGTGCCACACCTATCCCGAAGGTTTTCAGCAGTCTCGTTGCGGTTTCTGATATTCCTTGTATGTACGGTAGGGTGATCCTTTTGTTGATTTTTGTGCTTGACTTGGGTTCTGATGCTGCGTGCGGTTGGTGTTTTTTGATGAAGTTGATTGGGTAGCCGTTCTTTTGAAATATGTCCTTCAGGTATTTCTCTCCATTTTTTCGTGCTGCCAGTGTGCTGCCGTGTGTCCTCGCCTTCTTGAACAATGTGTGTACAATCAATCCTATGCAAACCAAAGGATAAAATAACAAAGAGAAACAAATCAAACATCATCTACAAAATAAATTGTACCAACTGAGACAAACACTACATCGGACAAAGCGGACGCTCCCTCCACCTTCGCCTACATGAACATCAATCAGCAGTCAAACGCCATGATATCTCTTCACTTATATCAATACACGTGGATAACTACGGACACTCATTCGATTGGAAAAATGTAGAAATCTTAGACAGAGGAAACTCCGAAAACACTAGAGAATTTTTAGAAGCCTGGCACTCAGGTCAATCAGCAATCAACAAACATATTGAACTCAATCCAATTTATTAACCAATCAGGAAAATCATGCATAAATATAGGAACCTGATTACCATTCACAGAATTCTTCCACTGTCCCTATAAGCTGGCAATATTTTTTCCACGTTCTTGAACCAAATAGGAAAAGTTTAATTTATTTAAAGCAGCCTTTAAAATACTTTGAAGCTTTTAATGTGAATTTGTTCATCTTATTTATTGATTATTTCATGATAACAAATGATCCAGTGAAACAATGTAAAACTTTATTTCCGATACTAAAAAACCTTTTAATTCATTTACAATGTGAACATATAATAATAAGTACATAATGAGACTAAATATTTGATATTGGCGTCATAAACATATTCAACTAATATCTTCCGAAAATAAAGGATTCAGTATTGATAGAGAAGAAAAATAATAATTACTACTAAAAAAGTATCTATGATATTATGTTAATTATATATTTTGTAAATGGTTAGTAGAACAAATAAATATAGTATGTAACAATTAACCAGGTATAAATTAATTCTGTGTATCCATACTTCATTACTGATGTTTGTTGTTACAAAACATAAGTTACTAGTGACAGTAAATATTTCCAAATAGACAATTCAATAAATGTCCTGGATTTATAAGATAATTGTCACCAAAGAAACAAGTTAATTCATATTACGAAATGGGGTTAGTTTAATTTCTATTACATGGATGTCCGTGTTGTTCTTATTAAGGATTTATTAGGATTTTTTAATTTAGGTCTCTTGGAGGAATAAGCTCGATGAGCTTTTAACAACCTGAAACTACCAAGTCGCAATCTACCACAATTACTTTGTGATACAGAGCATAAAATATTCAATGGTGTTAGTGTATTAGTCAATTACTTCGTTAACTCTTTATTATGGCTTCCTATTAGAAATTTAAGAACTCGTCTCTTGTCGCTGATAATCTAGATATTGTGTAAAAAAGAACTTACATGAAAATTTTCGTTTAACTCGAAGAAAATCCGCGTCACAACCGGATGTCTTCTGTTAGACGATTAGATTATCGTAGTAACAGAGAAAATATAACTGTTGGTTAACTAATAAGTTAAGATGCTTGTTATACGGAATATCTCTACCGACAGAAAATAATCATGGTTAATGTATGTATACTTATTTGTTTTTAGTATATAGTTGTGAAGATTGTAGAGTTCTGGTGAAATCACGAATCAAACAATGTCAGACCACCACTGAAAACCTGAAAGCACTGAAACTCCGTTTCGTCCCAATATGGGACTCAGTAGTGTTTTAAAATATGTCCTGTATCTAGATTAAAAACATCTTGATTCGAACAGTCGAATTTTTTCAGTTTTATTGAAGAACCCAATCACTTATTATTCTGTTATATAATCACTAAACTTATTTTATTGTATGTCAGAATTTTATTCATGTTACTAATAATATGCTTACTCTGTATGGCTATAACAACAGAATGTCATAATGTATATTTTCAATGGTTTGTTATCTAAATTTCCTAAAAAACCTTAGCTCTCTCACATGGGATCTTGAGTATAAAATGAAGTTAATTATGTTACTAACAAAAAATACCTGTTTAGCGATTATGAGATTTCAATAATTCATTAACTGAAGTCATATGATTATGAAATTTAACTTCTTAACCGAAAAATATTTATTATTAACAAACGGTACTTCCATATTTTATGCTCATTAACCTGAATTGTCATAGCAATTAACTCTTTAAATCTATGGTATCCATGGGACAAGAACAATATGCAAAAGACGAAAACGCAGTGTTTTTTCGATGTTACACACTAGCATTCAATTAGATGATAAATATCGTTAATATATATATATGGCTCAGACATATAGCAACCAGCCATAACATTGAATTGAATAAGTCAAAAGTAATAAAACGTTATCCACATGATGGATAAATAAATAATTAAAATCCTAAATAACATGTTTGTAATTAATATTCAGTATATATTCCTATTTGTAGCCAGTTACTAGGTAACACTTAAAAATAGCAGACCCCAACATCAATCAGAACTTACCCACTATAAATACATTGATATTGATATTTTCATTAATGAACCAAGTTGAATATCAGTGAAAAGAGATTTGCATCAATGAATAAAGTTAGATAATTAACTTGTTTGTTCTGTGTCCAACTCAATGATACGAAATATTATGATGATAAAAGTCAACTTTCTAATTATTTGTTTTTCATCTTCTTCCTTTTTTCTAGATCCCAAATAATTTTGAAAAAATATGTGAACGACTACCCAGAGCTTTATTAGAACCTGTACGTAAAATGATCAGTAAGGATGTTCGTGAAAGACCGACATCACAGCTTTTTGCTTTAGTAAGTTGACAGTTTTTAGATTACTCATTTTGCTTTGCTAACCATAGGGCACGTTTCTATTGGTCACTTCATGGAATAACAGCAGAAAACTCTTCTAAGATCACCTTGTTAGAAAGTGTAAACAAATAAGATGAAGTTTACATCAAGTTAAGCAACCGATGTAAAATGATTGTTTTAATTCAATAAATCAAATGAATGTAGTTATATATACCTGCAATAAATTCCTATTGATCAGTGTACATGATAAACGAATTTTTTCAATCGACTTTTATATGCATATATAATTACCAGGTCAGTCAGTCAATCAGATTCAACGTAGACTGTGGCAAAAACTTGCATCTACCAGGTAAATGAAGGTGGGCTCATTACAAAAATAAACAAACATGTTTTAAGCTTGCTGCATATCTAATTCACAAAACCTATTTATCCTACAAATCATACTTCTAATTTATGGCATTTCCATACATTCGATTACTGATTTAAAATAATTAGCTAAAACCAGTCAGTTAATGATCTTTAGCTTTTTATCCAATACAAAGTATGTTATAGAATTGTATGAGACACAGTTATAGGATGATCAGATTTATACATCACTGACTAATGCTTTGAAAACTCGATTTTATTCTTCAAGGAGCTTTCTTCGACAATAGTTAATTCATTCATCTTGAAATCTAAAATGAGGCTTGAATTTAATCCGTTTAATAAATTTCCTCTTGCTGTACTATCTAATTATCCGAATTTGACTGAATCACTTTTTTAAAGCACTTTTTTGAAACCATGGAATTACTGTCTAGTTAGCCACAACCAAGGTTCGTGTGAGAAGTTTAGATATATTACAAACAACATGTATACTACAAAGCTGTATGTTATTTTTTAAACATAAGATATGGCTATCATGCAGGTATCCGACTCTGTCTAAATTCACAATATTCCAATCATGGTTTAGAATATCGGGTATTTGTAACATAAACTATGATGTAATAAGTTGTTAAGTTTATGGCATTTACCAATCAATGGTGATTCACATCTTATTCACGATATACTATATTCAATATATCTCCTCAGTTGATTCATAAGTGAGCTTAGATAGCATTGTGATCATCAGATTAAAGTCTTGATTATTAAGCCTGTCCAAAGTTTTAAGACAACTCTAAAGGACTTTTAATTGTACTAGATTTGCACTATGCTTTCAGTGCTATCCAAGGATTCACTACCATTAATTATTGAAAAATACAAGTTAGTCAGACTGGTTATTTATCACAAAGTATACGCATTGGTGATAAATCTAGCTGTAAACAGATCGTTAATAGATGTGCTAAACACATGTAGATCACTCATTTTCATACCTATCTGATTGAGAGTCTTCATTCGAACCAAGAAATACAGCAATTTTTCAATTCTACTTCAAATCTACACTTCACATTAATCCTGTCATATCATCATACCTCTATTTATATTTCAAAAAGCTTAGTTGAGAAGCTGTTGAAATTGATTTTTGTAAGTGGTTGATTTCATCGGAAGCCTAGTTTATTTGAAAAGCTAGTTACTGTAAATGTTGATGCTGCCTTGATGTTTGGAAGGCGAAAAGACTGTTCATAAAAATAGGCTACTATTCTGTCGTTTTCCAAAAGATCAAACAAGAAGCATTCCCCCATTTTCGGTTTCCCAAATCGCAGCCATTGTTATAATTGACTTCGTGTATCCAACACACTGAAAGAAAACTAAACAGAATATTACCGGGTGCTTAGTCAACCAAGACTTCCAGGTCTGCCTAACTTACACCACGAATATTTGTAACTGTTTTCGTTAAGTTGAGACTCAAGGGACAGATGTAATGCAATATAAATAATAAACTGGAGAGTAATTTCTTCTCGCTGTGCTATTAAAAGAACTTCGCTAGGCCTTGACGGTACCTACAAGTTTAACAGAGAAGGAATACTGCTTTGCTAGTTGGTGATATTAGATGCACCTATGTAAGTTTTGCGAGTAACCTTTAGATTTGTAACTAGCAAAATTTCTGACCCAAACGGAAGTTTTTTGAAGTGTTATGCCATAGAAGCCTGTCAGATGTTACGTTAATGAAGATGGAGAAGAATTAAATGTCTAACAAATTTCTGGAAGAGCATCAAAAGTTTTACTAAATTCATACAATACCTAACTTTTTGCAGTGAGTACGCTCACACCATAATGTGAACACTTTTTCTTTAGTATGTATGAATGTTTTTGCAACTAATGTATACGAATATCGTTAAACGGTAAACAATGTTCTTGGTTTGCTAATAAAATTTGTACTTTCTGTATTTACTTGAATGTCATCCAGGTTGAAAGTCCCACCTTTTTTCGTTCCCTTGACGAAAAACCTATTGGGCATAAAAGAAAGGTAGGCTCATATGTTTAGGATGCAAGAAAAACTACTTGTGCCAAAAATACTGACTTCATTTAATGCACGTAAATTTTCACGATGTACCATCCAAATCCCATGTCCACTGTCCTGTGCCATAAATTTCATCTATTTTTATAAGTAAATTATAGTTGCTGACTGGCTCACACAAGTTGGTCAAGCTGGTTAAGAAAATATGATTAACCGTAGCGAATGGGGTTTCTAAGACTTATAGAAAATGGTTTTCTTTGTAGTAGTTACGAACGAGCAGTTAAATACAAATTACTATTTTATTTTATACACTCATTCTAATTTTTTGAGTGATATGTAGAGAACCGTATGATTAATAAACTGAAGTTAGGACAAATTTATGGGGTGAAATTATTACCATTTTTACACTCTCCTGATTATTAAATGAGACAGTGAAAAATCAGGATGACAGAAAATCTTATTAATAAAGCTTGTTCATAAAGAATAAAACATGGTTTAGAGTATATTTTGGTGCTTTTTTCTCTAAGGTTATTCGTATCACGGTTATTTTTAAATAAATCATATATTCTTAAGTGTATTATTTGGTGCTAAGTATATGAATTTCAATATGCGTTATTTACTTTATATGTTTGTTAATCGAAAATTCAAGTCCACAGATAAACTTTTACAGCAAGCAGTTGCCCTTTGAAAACTGTCCATGTAAAATTTTAGTTCGAACTTAATTATCATAGCTCACAGAATGGGTGTCGACAAAGGCCAGCATCACACCCCTAAGTTAATTATCACTTATGAAACAAAAAACTGATTTGAAAAAAAGTTATTTGTATAGCAGATATCATTTAGTAAACTTCAATAGTGTTTGCTATCATCTAAGGCGACACGTATCATCCAAAAGAATCTCAAAATACTGAATAATTCGTTAATGATTAGCTTCAGATTACTATGCAATGATAGAATATAGTTTGTTTTAAAATTGACAATTGTTTAATAAATTTTACGTTAAATACAGAAAACTATGTGTTCTTTTTAAAGTTAAAAAGGTCATACTTAACATTCGTTATTACATGTCTTCATAAAAATATTGGCTTTTGCGCTCTGTTACAAAACTAAATTAATTTTTGTTCCTAGAGATCACTGACATCCACAATAACAAGAATCAATATACTCATTGTCACTTGTTTACTCGATCATCAACTTTCTTCAAACATTATATTTAACAAACGAACAATCTTACTTATTATTAATATTCTATCATCAGTTGTTCACAGATAAACATTCATATCATTTGACATGTTTATTAAGATGAATCGATAAAAAAAAGATTGATAATTGTTCTGTAGATGCTGATAATCAATTTTTTAATCCATAGTTTATGTGATTAGAGTGAAACAAAATGTTTAATGTTTAGTTCAAGTTATTGATGTTTCTGATTTTTATATTTTTCATCATTATTCATGACAATCATTCCAAGTAAACAAGAATAAATGGTTCCTTATCTATGATTGTAAACATATTTCATGATAACAGTATGTAAATAATCAATATTTTGGTCATAATATTTACTATCCTGTTCACAAGAAAACTAAAGAATGAATTATTAATCTGGTGAAAGAAATTTGATGACCTGTAGTTTTAGCTACTACTTTGACAACAGATATCATTGTCTCTGTATTTTCTATAAAAATGACAGGGTTTTGAACTGAGTGACAGCTATAAATACAAAACTACTGCATGGCTTGTTTCTCATTAACCTAATGTAATCTAGTAACTTAAGCATTTATAATTAAAAAACTTCATTAACTAATATAAACAGATGGAATGCAGCTAGCTTTGGTATACACGATGCACGTTTCGTTCTTTTTGAGATTCTTTAGCTGGATACACCACCATCCTAGAGTTGTTCACTCCGCGGTTCGAACCCATTACCGTCCGCTTTAAACGTCAATGTGGTATCCACTTTCCTAATGAGCCCAGAAAAACACTTACTTATGCAATATATATGAGTTTTAATTTAATTTTTAATAATTCGGATGATCTCGTTGTTGATATTTTGACTGAAATGTTATCAGACATGTTTGGTATATGTTTAGCCAGTGCTATTGCCTTGATGTAGCCATTATGACACAAGTTTATATGGAATGTACCACAATGATTATATCTAGGCAGTTCGCAGTAGATTCACTCATACCAACCAAGACTGATCAAATTTCAGTCAAAATATCAACTGTTAGCCGAGTACGAAGTTGACAAATTTAATTATTAAGTAAAGTTGATAACTGTGAATCATGGAATTTAAGCTGACACTATAAAATGTATAAAAAAGAGAACTGACATTCCTTAAAACATGGGTTAAATTATTATAGAATATGACTACAAACTTTCGTTCACTCTCAAGTTAGTATAACCCTTCTAACTGGCATTATATAGTACGAAATAAAAGAAAATAGTATTATTTTGATAACTGTATATAGTATATGGCTTAAAAATAAAATTAATTAAACTACCTAACTAATAATAACAGTTTATTTTTAATGGCTTTGTTAGCATACACATTAAACATAGGTCCGATAGTAGTGCATCGAATGTTTCAAATAATTGCAAAGGTCTCCTTAGAGAACTCTTATCATCATTAGTGATGACACATTAATGATATTACAGTCACAAATGCGAATATTATTCAGAACCTGATTGTAGAAGTAAGAATAAACCAATACTTTAATATCCGTTGGCGTCAATTTAGTAATTTTGGTTAATAAATAAATAAATAAATACATATTCTGGAAATAATTATGGAATACAGGCCAGTTCACAGGCATGACCACGTTGATAAAAATGAAATGTAACATGTAATGAAAAATATATTTCATAAATTCTCTTGACAGAGCATTTTCTACTAAGATGTTAGTAATGCGAAGCAAAAGTTGGGACTACAATTGGATTATTGAGGATAAATAATGCAATGAACAACGATTTCATTGTCTTTACACTTCATTTTCAACCACGTGCAATTAGTTGATCATGGAATAATCAAGCAAAAATTAATATAAAAGAACCTGAATCATATACGTGTTAGATTGTTTTGTAACATGCTGATTTATTTTCGTCTTTGTTAAACTAAACAGCTGTATTTTATAGATTCCTACTACAACAGAATAAGTAATGCAATAAGAATAAGATTTAAAATTAACCAGGAATAGTGTACTCGTTAAAATATCCGCGTGATGAAAAGTTTAATAAGTAAACTCAATAGTAACAGTGATCAATGAAAACTACATTTTATTTCTCAAATATACATGGTCTTTGAGTATTGGTAATTATTAATATATCCATCCTCATTAATTCATTTTTCATGCCCACAAATAACTTTCAAAATATTGGTTTATGAATAGAAGTTTACTGATTAAGTGAAACTGTTTGGTGAATGTAATCTAGACGACAGTGTTGGATAGTCATCAGTATGTGGAAAATATCTGCTTATCTTCTGATTCAGCCTCTTTTATCTGGAATATTAAGCGTCACCTTTACTATGAAATTCTAAGATTCTTGTAGAGGTTATGAAATATATTTCTTGGCACTCCTTTACCAACAGTTCTTTAAATGACACCATTTTGTGAAGATTATGTACATCTATATTACAAAATACTTATATACATTAAAAATACTTCATACTTTATGCATTATTCATGTTATCTTCTTAGTTAAAGGTATTTAACGAACCAGTAGTTCTTTCTTACGAAGGTTTACTAACATTGAATGATAAATCATTAAATCAGAAGAAAGAATTCTTTGGCCGACTCCCTAAAGTTATACCCTTATTTGAACCTGTAAGTTGATTACACAATTATTGATTATGATTCGCATTGGAGCGAGGTTTATTTTTAAAATTCTTACTTCTTTTACTGGAATGGGGTGGTTAACTGAAGGGAAATTAAACACCTCCTTACTCGCCCATCATGCTATTCGTGAGTATAATAAGCAGTTTACGTTTATTTGCATCATGGATGAAAAATACGTTTAAAGCAGAAAGCACCAAATATCTATTCCTTCTTGTCCAAACTTCATTATTGATCAAAATTCCTTAAAACCGTAACCACTCTGAAATATTCTGCAACCAGCATCTTGTTCGTGGGAAACTAGACCACTTGTAACTTCACAAGTCAAAACGTTGAGCTAAAATTGAATAAGATATCAAGGTGAACTCTAGCTTATCACTTGAAATGATCCCATCTACATATATTATTCTCAAATTTTCAATTAATTTTGTTAAAAGAACCTAATGTAACAGAAGGAGATGCTTAAATCATACTTCAACTAAATAAACTGTGATGCCTATTTGTAATAAAAATAATAAGCTAACTAAATTACATGATTTAATGTTGAACAACAACAGATTAGATCTAAACATATTACGATTGCTCATTATTTTAAACGTTTTACGGTATGACTTCAATCTTTAGAAAACTTTAGCTATAAAAAAAATGAAAATCGACGTATAAACTGCATGTCAACGCCATTCATTTCATATAAATCTATCCTCAACATATCTGATATTTCTTTCATCAACTTGTAATTATTTATTGGATCTAATGTAATATCTGATTAATTCTATAATATTTGCATACTCTTTTTCATTTTATTTCAGAATGTCAGATATAAATATATTCTACCACTTATTTTACAATGGTTATATGAGTCAAACGAATTAATTCCCTATATTCTACCATCATTTTTAACCATGATTAAAGTGGCGGAATCTGATGATTATGACAAATATTTAAAATCCCACTTGCAAAAAATTTTAACGGAAACCAAATCACTTCAGGTAAATTAGTGAAAGTAAAATAAGATTAATAGAAGTCGTTATATTTATTTTATTGTCAATATAGGGTCGTGGATATTGTTTAGTTTAGATTGATATAATGAATGGATCAATGTTAGACCACCATTGAAAAGCTGGAAGCACTGGACGCCTTTTTCGTCTTAGTATGATACCGAATACAAGTATATAAGAATGTATGGATTAGTGGAACTGAATTCAGTTTTTCCAAAGATTGTTATTATTTTCAATAATTTTAATCATCGAAGCACTTGGTTTTCTTTCAGCTATCATTTGTAATCAATACTCTTTTACCCATAAATCTATTTTCATAACTCAATTATTTACTGTAAGTCTTTGTATAAACGCCAATACCACTTAAAATAAATTATTTACTATCAGCAAAATTAACTAAAATTACATACAATTACTAATATAAACGAAGTAGGAACGATACTATTTGCGGACTGCAAAGGTTTTTCTTTGCTTAAATTTGTAAAGTGAACCAATGGCAAGAAGCACTAATATTTCGTGTGATCTCATCATCAACGTGGAATCAAGTACCACTAATAAGCACAAATATTTTGAAATAGTTCAAATAGAGCTATTGATACATATCATCTGACTGATAACTACCATACACTGGATTATCTTGTTTGGAAATAAACTGATAGATGTCACTTATTTTCTGCGAAATTAGTGTTTAATCATTTTGGCTTGACGAGTATCCACTTAGTTACCTCTTTAAAAGTTCCAAATAATTGAAGCCAATGAAATTTTTATATTTTTCTGGTCATCATCAAAATCCGTATACGGTATATGACTAATTTATTGTTTATTACTCTTACTGATCATATAGTTTTAAACGTTCTACACAATTATTTAAATCAAAAACTACAATAACGACTTAACTGTTTGTCTGTGAAAATCCTTTATTATGTGCCTGTAAATTTTCATTGAATTTAGACAGTTATATCCTACAATAAGATACCAAATACTGAGTCACAAAAATAGTGTTTATATTGCACAACGTAGATATGTGACGTTTCCCAGGAAAGTGAGAATTTTTTCTGATATTGTAACCAAGGGCTTAGTTTATTTGAATGTTGTTGATGTTTGACATTATCTTCTTTTGCCATTCGTTTTTGGCATGCAACTACATCTTAAGAAGGTGTAACTATATTAGTTGTATCTATTGCTCGTAGATGGTTAATTTGTCTGATATTGTGCATCCAAGTTGACCCGATAAACGATTGATTGTTAAATGTCAAGTAATACTCATCTTAATGAATATATATGTAATTGTGAATCACATATATTGGTTTAAGTTTAGATTACAAATGCAAAAAAATATCTTTCAGTGTCTTCTGATTTGAAAGTGTTGTAATCAATACCAGAGGATGCGATTATCTGTATTCCATATTAAACACAAAATGTAGTTATAATTTTCTCCTGTGTCAGAGTCGAAGAAATAATAAATAACGATGTTAATAAACTGACAACAAATAAAGGATACAGTGACATTACATTTGAAATTTGTTTGAAAAAATATTAGTAAATACTCCTACTTTATGATATTCGTAAATGCGTTAAACTAATAATGAATACTAGAAACTATAACTTATGATTTCTACTCAGATTTCTCCCTCTTCAACAAGAGATTAAAAACATCATGGTTTGAAGATTCGTGGACAGCAGCTTTATTAGTATTGGTTAATCAGTTTTAAAAAAGATGCATGGTTATAATGGTGTTACATTCACCATCCTAACCACAAACCAATGAAAATGTCAGTATATTTCGGCTGGTCTTTCTCACATGACAGTGGACGTGGAAATTAATCTCAAAACGTTATAATTTGTAGCAAATAGTGCTTTTTAAAAATTTTGAAAGGTTGGTGAAACGACGAAGTTGATTAGAAAAATGTGATATGTTCACTCAATACATTTTGATCAAATAAATCTGCAATCAAATCGTTCGAAATATATAGCAAAAAGACATATTTTTCATATCAATTCAGTCAGTTTATGACAACCTTATTACCTAATCAAACAATTAACTATTAAATATCGTATAAAGATACTTAACACTTGAAATATACTTCGGAAGTTCTATACACAATGTTATAGCAACTGTCTTTTTCAAGCTTACTGATGTTTAAACACTTAGTTATTAGTTTTACATTGTGAATGAACAATCAGCTATCATATAATATTGCGGACTAAATAATCTCCATCAGTGTTGTCAGCCTCTTTCCTTCTCTTTACTGTTTTAATGTGAATTTCTGTGTCTGTGTGTGTATCTATGTGCTTTAATATCCTAATGATTATATCAAACCAATTAGGTATATATTCATTCAACCGTAGTAAGTATTTGGTAGGAGTGTTTCAAGGGCAATCAACAAGTAAGTTAATATTTTTATTGATAGCAAAATAGCAAAATAAATAGTTCGGAAAAATTACATTGTTTTCGATTGTTTTTCTTTTTCACTGAGAAATAAAAATCTATTCTTACACTGAGCAAATCTTTATAAATCAACTAAAAACCCACTTCATTCTGAACAGTGTTGATCATAAGAATGTATACATGTAGATGAAACTTGAAACTAATAATAAGATCGACAATAACACCAACTAGTTTCATAAGATACTTACTCGAACATATTCATGTAATTCAGAACTTTACTATCTACAATTTATGTCTTAAGATTTTCATTAGATTAATTAACGTCCAAGATAATGATCAGTCGATCAATATTTAATAAATAAACCTGAAATAATGATTCCATTTTGGTATTTTCAATACTTGTTTTCTTTCTTAAAATGTTTGGTTTGAATAATCTAAGTTGTCTTATCTCAAAGCAGTATATTATTTTTGAGTTATAAGGCTATTTGACTCAGGATGTTACAGACATATATCTTAGTTGTATGAAACATTTTATGAATTACTTACTATTTTAACCATTTATATTTTAGAAAGCTTAATAACTACTATCTGAGCACGTATTACATTCAAAAAGCTTTCTATGAAGATTGGATAAGTAAATTTGATTTTCTAAATTTTTCAAATCAGTTGAGCGGTATACGCAGGTGCCTTCATTCAGACGATAATTTTCGACAAGTACTAATATCAGCTTCAGAATCACTAAAAGTCAGGAGGTATAAGACATCTGAGTTGTTCTAATTTCGAGTGACATACACAATCAGAACTCATTGTTTTGAACAAGGTTAAACTTCTGGTCTTCAGTTCCAAAGCAAGCATGAAAAAATAAGACTATTCAATGACAGTTTTCGGCCTTGTTTAATTCATCATATAGTACGGCCATTATCTTACACAATCAATCTATCCAATCCCCTTACTCTTAACATTCTGATCTTTGTTCTACTGGCCGCTGATCTAGTTTACAACTGTACTCTGTATGATTCACTTTTATATCTCTTGACGATTATTTTATTCGGTGAAAATTTAATTGACTTAAGGGATCGTTTTTTCGAGAACTCTTTATAATCATAGTAATAATAATGTACTCTAGCACATGATATCTAAACCTGTTTGTTAGTTAGCTTAACTTTGTTATTTGCTTCGAATAAAACTGATTTTAAACTTATATTTAGTGGCCATTTTTTTATGATTATTAAAAGTTGTGGTTGCACACCATTTATCAGAGTTGAAGTTACATGGATGAATGACTATCCTTTTAATGGATTATCATTGTTTTAACATTATTCAATTAACTTATTAAATCAATTTAAAAAAACGTAGGTCATTTGAGTTTTAAAAATTATAGTAAAAATGGTACAATGAAAAACAAAATCATTTTAGTTTGCCATGTTCTAGGAAAATAAATTTAAAGTTTGACTAGATTAATTTCTATTGTAATAAATGTTTAATATAAAAAAATTGTTATTTTTACATTACTATTATTAGTAGTGTAACGGATTTGTATAACCGCATTTTCCTTATTAATTAACTGAATTACGAACAGTCTTTATTGCTGTATGTGATTTCTGTATGGATAGTCATTTTCTTACAAATTATATAAGATAGATGGATCGTGACTTATATGGGGTGGGGTAATTGTAGACTTGTGTTTTGTTGTATTCAGAACTTAATAGATGAATGTACTTGAATCCCAATGTACACGTATAAATTACCTTTTTTGTCTTTAAAGTGCATTAGAAAACTACAAATAAGATCTAACAGTTGATATACCAGTTCCAGAAGCGAATATTTAGAAGTTAGCAAGTTATTACGAGCTGTTTGGTAATTTTTGAGAATTATTCATCCAAGTTATGTGCTCATCAGAATATGTCGAATAAATTTTCTTAATTTTATAACCGATTATTAAGTATCTCATATATTAATATTAGATCTTTACGAGAATATACAGATGTTTTCCTATCTCGTCAACACATTTGTCGTGTACTAACTAATTTTTCTGGTACCCAGTTAAGTGGTTAAGCATATATATGTATTTTAATTTCAATAATCTGAAAACATTCAAGACTAGAATACAGGGTGATATCAGCATCAAAAATATCTGATTTTGCATCTATTTGATCGAAAGCATTCTTGCATTCAACGAACGCAATGAGCAATATACTACTGGATAGCTAAATGTTTCACGAAATTTCACCAGCTAAAGAGCTACTGAAAATCAAGAGGCACTGAATAGCGCTAACCGTCCTAACCTCTAGGTTTTGTAGCTTTTTGACTACAGGGTAACGGCTTATCAGGTCACACATCTTCCTATATTTGTCAGACAGCAAGATTTCTATACACTGTAACTGATGAGCTAATGTCTCAATCTCGACCTCATAGACTACAAATGTTACGATTTCCCCCCAGAGTTTCAGGAAATCCGTGATAATCCTTTTCACTCCTTAAGTACACTATAGGTTACTGATTGTTGCAGAGGCTTCTCAATTATTGATAGTAATTTTCATTATAAGTCACATTTACGGATAAACTTGAAGCTGTGGCTCGCAATTAACGTTGCATCTTAAAGTCATGGAAATTAAAATATCCTTCTTGTGTTTTTTGGTCTTTTTTAGACAAGTATGGTAATTTTGGATCTTTCAGATTTCTTTATTAATCATATTAGTCAAGATGACATTGGGAATCTTCTCCTTCCTGAAATATTTGTTTGCCTCGAACCGGGCACTCCAAAATCTTTGGTAAGCTATTATTTTCACACATACGATTATTCATGTAAAAGTTCTTAAAAATTTGATTGCATTCACGTCCAGTTTTGCAAACACCGGTAAATGACATATATATGTGTTCTTATCTTCAATAATTATGTCTACAATTATTCTAGAATCATTTATTTTAAAATTAACTAAAGTGTGTCCTACACAATGCTAGTAACTATTCCAATGCGGTTGTTAAATAAAATATAAGCTAAATACTAAAATTAAAAAAGAATTACCCTTCCGTATGTAAGACAATGTTTATCATAATATATAGTTTTCACCGGAATATATACAACAGAATTCCAAGATTTATCTAATATTATCAAACGCTTTTATCACTGATTTCAACAAATACTCTGATTAGATCATCAACATCAGGCCCTAGGAATATCTGATAGAAACCTTAATCTCCAACCAAAGCATGGTTTTACCAAGTCATTAACATGATGGGTTACTACTAAGCAGTCATCGAATAATACAATGAGTAATAGTGTGTGAATAATTATTTATAAGTAATATGTATGTAATATGTAAGATGTCAACCCACCAACGAAGGAAGGAAATCAGAATGGCCGTCAGAAAAATCAAGAACGGGAAAGCAGCGGGACCCGACAACATACCAGCTGAAGCACTAAAGTCAGACATCGAAGTAACCACAAACATGCTTCACCTTCTATTCAAAAAGATTTGGGAGGAGGAACAAGTGCCGATGGACTGGAAAGAAGGGCACCTCGTGAAGATTCCAAAGAAAGGAGATCTGAGCAAATGTGAGAACTACAGAGGTATTACAGTACTGTCAATACCAGGGAAGGTCTTCGACAGAGTGTTGCTGAACCGGATGAAGGATGCAGTAGATGCCCAACTTCGAGATCAACAAGCTGGATTCCGAAAGGATCGGTCGTGCACAGACCAAATTGCAACACTACGGATCATCGTCGAACAATCAGTTGAGTGGAACTCGTCACTGTACATCAACTTCATTGATTATGAAAAGGCATTCGACAGTGTAGATAGGAGGACATTATGGAAACTTCTTCGACATTACGGAGTTCCTGAGAAGATTGTCAATATTATCCGGAACTCATACGACGGACTACAGTGCAAAGTAGTGCATGGAGGACAGCTGACAGATGCATTCCAAGTAAGGACCGGATCCAGACAAGGCTGTTTACTCTCCCCCTTCCTCTTTCTTCTGGTGGTCGACTGGATTATGAAGACCTCGACATCTGAAGGAAAACACGGAATACAATGAACAGCTCAGAATCAATTAGACAATTTGGACTTCGCAGATGACCTAGCCCTCCTATCGCATACACACGAACAGATGCAGACAAAGACAGCCAGTGTAGCAGCAGTCTCTGCATCAGTAGGCCTCAGCATACAAAAAGGGAAAACCAAGGTCCTCAAATTCAAAGCGAAGAACAGCAATCCAATCACTCTTGATGGCGAAACTCTGGAAGATATAGAATCTTTCACATACCTGGGAAGCATCATCGATGAACAAGGATGCTCAGATGCAGAGGATTGGCAAAGCAAGGGTCGCATTCCTACAATTGAAAAACATATGGAACTCAAAACAACTTTCAACCAATATCAAAGTGAGAATCTTCGATACGAACGTCAAGGCAGTTCTACTGTTTGGAGCTGAAACTTGGAGAACTACAACCACCACCATCAAGAAGGTACAAGTATTTATAAATAGCTGTCTTCACAAGATACTCAACATCCATTGGCCGGATACCATCAGCAACAGCCTTTTGTGGGAGAGAACAAATCAGCTTCCAGCTGAAGAAGAAATTAGGAAAAGACTATGGAAATGGATAGGACATACATTACGCAAATCGTCAAACTGCATCACGAGACAAGCCCTAACTTGGAATCCTGAAGAGAAGCGGAAAAGAGGAAGGCCAAAGAACACATTACGTCGGATACTAGAAGCAGATATGAAAAGGATGAATAACAACTGGAAGGAGCTAGAAAGGATTGCCCAGGACAGGTTTGGATGGAGAATACTGGTGAGCGGCCTATGCTCCTTCACGAGGAGTAACAGGCGTAAGTAAGTAAAGTAAGTAATATGTAAGTGCAGAGTGGGTTGGAGAATGCAGGTCGGCGGCCTATGCTTCGTTGGGAGTAACAGGCGTAAGTTAGGAATCCTCAAAAAAGAATCCCTTTAAATCTATGCCGTGTAATTTGACAGTTAATAACCTTACCAATTATAAATTTGGTTATCATTTAAAGAGATCACTTTTTTAAAATTGTATCTGATTTCTAACCAGCTGAACAAGTTACATTTGAAAACTTTTGCTGAATATTCACGAACTATTTATAATTTTTCGACATATTTTCTTTTCTAAATGTCTAACCACAAAAAAATCTTAACAATAACAGGAAACTGTTCAGAATGCAATTTCAGTATTGTCAAACTATCTTAATAATACACAAATTGTCCAATCAATTCTACCACAGCTCAAAGAAATATATAATCGTAAAACATCAAATCCCAAGGTAAGGTAAATCTTAAAAAATATCTTTGTTTGAATAATAGAAAAAAAGAATAAAACAATACATGTACAACAATTAGGTCGTAAAGATTTTTATGTTTAATATTGATTAGTGCTTGTTGGTACTTGTTAAAGTAATTTATTTCATCTACCAACATAGATTGTCATATTCCAACCATTATGAAATGGTCGTGAAAAAAAAGGAAGATTTCATGTTTAAAAATAGCTCATCTATTATGGAATAAATGATTTCAATAGTTGAGAACATGGGCTAATTGAAACTAGGCCACCATCGAAAACCTGAAAGCACTGGACGGCCGTTTTGTCCTAGCATGGGACTTCTCAGCAGCGCCCATCCACGACACCGCCCTCTGCGAGATTCGAACTGAGGTTCACTGGTTTCGCGCGCGAGCACTTAACCACTGATCCGGCATCCAACGGTGTTAATCTCTAACTTCGACCAATCCACGAAATTGAGCGACACATTCACAGTTGTCTTCAGTGAGTTACTATCTCACAACAGACCTGGTTGAACTCCACTGGCCACTGCTTCCCACTAGAACTCCAGAATATGCCTCTTGAAGCCAGTCACTAGTGAGCATATGTTGATTAATATCAGATGGGTTCTGTGGATATTATAGTAATTTCAATGGTTAAGATCATGAGAAGTCCCACAATAGGACGAAACGGCCGTCCAGTGCTTCCAGGTTTTCCGTGGTGGTCTAGCTTCAAGTGACTGATGATCTTAACCACTGAAAACCGTTTTAGTTCAATTAAATATTCAAACGAACGTTCTTCATTTTATTCCCTTTGATACTTTGAATGAAACAATCAAGTTTACACCATAAAGTGGATTGATTTTGTTTTGAAGTTCATTATTAATTTTAAGTTACCTTAAATTACAAAGTTGTGTGTTTATAGAAATAATTTTGATATACTTTGAACTGTGATGGTCATATGAATGTTTAAAACTGCAGGGAAAACCACGAGTGTAGGAAATAGTTAAAATAAACCTGTAAACGTAGTAGATTGGATTATATTTCCATATATGTGAGGAATAATAGTCAAGTAAACTAATTTAAGTGAAGTTATAGCTACTAACGAAATCAGGTTTTCTAAATGGCCAAGTGATACAATTAAAATAAAACTGACTTACTGGTTATATAGAAATAAGATTACCTAGGACTGAAATCATCTTATTCCAGTCATCGTTACCGGGCAAAGGAAAGGTTTACCACGCATCCCAGTAACATAATACACTGATTCCCTTTTTAATGTGCAGTAAACGTAACAGTTGTTGTCAATTAACTATTTTGAAAACTAAACAAATAGACTCTCTTTTATTCACTGTATATTCTGTTTATATCTATCTCATTCAGAATCTTGTTAAACTGTTATTATGAAACACAATATTTCTAGATATTTTCCATGTACTTGTATGCAGTATATTTGATGCAACTACAGATATTTTCAAGGGTATTTTTCCACTTTTTTGTGGTCAGTATGAGTGCTCAGTACACAAACACTATAGAATAATTAGAAAATTTAGACTCCTGAATCAGACCTGCAAATGAAACTTTACTTTTCAAACTTAAAAGGTGAATAACACAATAGTTCTTATAACATTATTTTTGCTCTAAAAGGGTGTTTCTGGAAACTTACAGAAGATACCAACTAATAAGAAGTGTGAAACTTATCCTATTCACTCTTTTGTCACAAAATACCACATGGAAGATGAGTCATCAAACATTTTAAAGTGATATTTCCTCTTACGGTTCCTAATATAATATTTAAATCGCATATTTGTTAATCAGCATTTGTTTGTACATTTTCATTTTCATAGATTCGCATTGCGTGTTTAGAATGCCTAGGAAAACTTTTAAAAAAATTAACATTACCTACATTATGTGATGATGTACTACCATTTGTTAGCTCAATCCGAACAGTTGATCGTGAATTAGTTCTTGCTGTTGTGGGTAAGTTTCATCTGGATTTTATTGTTCCTAGGCTATAAATCTTCAAGAAAAACTGTACATATTAGTACAGTCACTAAATTTTAATAAATGGCTTCAAAAGTGAAATCACTTTTGTTACTGATCCTGTTTATAAGTTTAGTCTACTTAAATGTAAATTTCTGATGCATAAAATCGTAAAACTAATAGATGTCTGAGCAGTAACATGCATCCCGTTGTTAGATCCTTAATGTTGAATACATTTGCACGGTATGTTCCCAGGAATTTCCATTAAGCACCTAGATAGTAACTTGGCCTAATAGTTACATGACAAATTTGATTTGTAAAATTCATTTGCTTCTCAGGACCAGACAACATATTATTAACGACAACACTGTTGATTAAACTTGATCTTGTCGAGCATTAATTACTTTCCAAATACCTCAGTGTGTCTGACTGCTGTGCAGTGTAACACTGGGTAGACTTTCTGTTGCAAAAATAAGAGATTCCCCAATAATATTGATACAACTTTCAGGTAAGTCATAACAATATAAAGATTTGTCCATATTTCTCCCGTTTATTGCTTTCAGCTATCCAACATGTATAGTTTAACTCAGGAAACAATAATAATATTTTACTAACCAATGATGGTTCTTTGTATGAAATTATTACACATGATTATGAATCAATTAAAAAATCACCGATCAGAAACCGCATTTAAGTAACAAGATGTTGATGGTGATAACTTAACTATCACTTTTTAAGTAGATCTAATAGATTACGAAATAAACAGAAACGAATGAACTGAATTTTGTGAAGAACTAAACCATTTTCAAAAGTTAAATTGAAACATTTATAGTTACTAACACAAAAAATCGTTGAACTAATAAAAAATGTAAGGATATACCAGAACTGTTGTCAAACCACTAAGGAAGGAAACAACTAAACTAGTAAGTATGAACGCATTATAATAAATCACCTAGGAATTTATATAAAGCTTTCACGGAACTCTTATGTGAAAAATGCATCATTTCAGGGGAATAAAGTGGATATATCTACAGTATACAGCTCCCGGTTAGTGTTCATCAGATATTCGATTACAAGAAGTAAATTGCATGTGAATTGTTTATTTGATATTACCGTCATTTTTTTATAAAATGAAAAGGCGCAAACAATATCATCTGGTATATACACACAAGTTTATTCATTTGTTTGCATCCTATTCCATATTCAAACAGATATATGAACGAAGAATATTTTCTTCATGTTTCACAATTATATATCCAAATGAATAGTCCAGTGTTTAAGTTTAAAGCAATAATATGGTTCAACATTGTAGTATGTGAATTCAGAATTGTTTATAGAATACATGTTAAGACGATTATTATGAAATGTTTATTTGAATACGTTTACATGTTTAAAACTTGAAGAGAACTTATTAAAAACAGTGTTCTTGGTTCATATATTTGTGTTTTAACATGGTGGGAGTTTTTTGGCTATTAAAATGTTGTGGTCAACGATTCTTCATATGTTCCTTTTTTTACTTTCATTACTTCAGCTTTGAACCGTCGACTCATATCAGATAGAAACAATGAAATTTCGTACACTTACATAGCTGGAATGCTATTGCCTTCTATGGTGAACTTTCTGGCATTAAAAACACTAACTATATCTGATGTGAGTTTCCATTTAATTTGGACTCTTTGCGTGTTGTGTAATCCTATTAAGAGGAATATAAAAAATTTATGCTAAGTTATTTCATCCCTAAATTTCGGAAAAACTTGTTATGAACAAGGTTTTCATCACAAATAAATGTTTACATTTTAGCGGTGATAAACACTAGTTGATAACCGTTTCGTCTATATTAGCCTCTCCACAAGTATTTATGATTATAACTTTTTCAACTAGTACTAAAATATATATTATTCAAAAACTGGTGGTCTCTGGTGGTGGGGTCATAGATCCACACTGATAAACTGAACCATGTTAAAGAGAAATAGTTATTCAGTGATTCCTTGATTTTAGTGGCTGTTTAAATAAGATCAATTGTAATTATAAATGTAATACTGATAAGTTTCGGTTACACATGAGACTAATTGTGAGTCAAGAATACAATTTATCAATTTTCGTGGACAATTTATTTATACATTTCAAATAACATTCCACTAAATTAGCCAGAATGTTGCAACATCTTGGAACATCGCCATATACAAACTAGAGAATTATCGAAATGAACAATAATAAATGTCATCCTTGGACAGAACTTTGCCATTAAGCATCAAATGTATTTTCCTATTATCGTCTAATCTATCCTATGCGTCCCTACTTCAATTTAGAAACTTTCTGTGATCCACTGAATATCATATCCATAAACCTAACCTATAAATCAAAAAGATTTCCATATTATCCTCTTCCTTTATAGTGACGATTTTCTGAGTTGAACAGCTTACATTAAACTAAACCATAAAACTTATCTAACTAATATTTCCTAACGCAACTTTTAACCAATTTCCCTGTTTGTCTATTAATACAATATAACTTATTGCAACTTTTACAGTTTTATTTTATTTAGTTAATTAACTAACTAATTTGTTTAATAAGGAGTTAAAAACTTTGCCATTTAGTATCTTACCTGTAAAATTACTTTCCCAATATATTAGGTAGATAAACCTTTAGTATGTCGCAATCGCTTTATTTATACATAGATTCTTGATAACGGTTGAGAAGATTTGTAGCTCAGGTGGACGATTTAGTGGATAGAACAAGCTGTGAGTCATATGTAGAGAAATTCAAACACTTCATTTCTGCCTGAAGTTTGTGCTGATGATATTGTTCGGAAGAAAAATGAGAGCTCTAAGAACAAATCAACCAGATCAGAGAACAAAATCACCTGAATTGATGATAACCTATAATTAAATAAACATCTTACAAAGGATTTCCTTCACACAACAAGAATAACGATGTTTGTAGAATACGAAAACACCATTATGTTTTACTTGTTTCTCCTCAGCCATATAATAAAATGATTCTGATAAACTAATAATTAGAACAACACATATAAGCGAACAATTGTTTTCAATTAGATCGCCATCAGGCTTTACTCTAATATACATGAATATTTATACGAAAATGTAAACCAATCAAGGCAATATGAGTCAATAATCACAATGAAATAGAATAAGTCTCTACACATAATAGGTAAAAATACAAATTGATAGTAGGAAGACAGATGTACTGATAGTGGTAAGAATAATAAAATACGATAACAAAAGTCTTGTCAATAGTTAAACGTTGGGAATAGAAGGTCAAACATGGATAAATAGACTAGGAATAGTAATCACAAAACATTAAGATCATTACGTAATAAGAAGTGTGTAAATAATTAGATAGTGAAGAATACAAACAGAAAGAGGCGGAAAGTTACAAACAAATAATGGATGTGAAAATAAGGTTAACGATAACAAAAATAGAATAAAATAAATAAATCATGACAATAATAGAAATCTTAAAAAAATCGTTAGTTAAGTTATAACTGACCGTGGAAGGGATAGGGGGTTACGAATTTCTTCTGTACACACAAATTGAGGTTATATGTACGAATTCCAATGGCTTCAGCTATATGTAGGAGGCGGGAACGAACTCCGTTGGGAAATGATGGAGGTATATGATAGATAACTGCAAATGATTTCGATTTATCTACAGCATGACCGCTATCAATGAGATGTGTCAAGATAGAACTGCGAATAGATTTTATCTGGCCCTTCATGCCTGATGACGATCTAATTGAAAACAATTGTTCGCTTATATGCGTTGTTCTAATTTTCACAATGGGAATCTTTAATAAACTAATAACTGTTAAAACTACTAGAGAAATTTTTAAAAATGGATTTTGTTTTACCAAACAATACATTTCTTAAACCGCTCGTGTAAAACTAAATCATTTTCTGCTGGTTGATTGAATCTTCCCAATACAAAAAATGAATTAAACTTCATTCCACTGCACAAGCTAGTAGTTACATAGACTCACTAGCTAAGTAGATAACGCGATGGCGTTCCAAGAAAATGAAACTGGGCCCGAGTCCAGGAGTGAACATCAACTCTAGGATGCAGATACATCCAGCTGACGAGTTTTAGATAGGGCAAACGCGCGTTCTGAATCCCACTGCCAGATATCAACCATCTCTACCTGTAATGGTCATGTAAAACTATTCAAATTAAACTAATTTTGATCAATCTCTTACAAGTAACTCTGATATATTGGTAAAATCAATCTTATTACGAAATATAGGAAAGGGATACATAGAACAATAGGAAAATGAATTTTTCAGAAAGATATTTAATTTTAATCATATTCTAAAGCGTTGAGAATTGGTTTTTCTGTTGTTTACGTCTGATACTAAACGAGTAAAAGCCTGACTGATGAATTCACTTAAATAAATATATCGAATTTTAGTCCACTAATTATGATGACATCTTACAGTTTCAATGAATCATCTTATATTGTTTAATGGTGATTTCGCATGCAGTTGTCTTGTTTATATCTTGTGTCAAACAACTAATACTTACTGATATTTCACGATTTGTATTTTCCAACATATTTTCAGTGAAAAATATGTAAATGACTACATTTGAAATCTTGTCGTACTTGCCTATGGACGGATACTTAAACTGATGTATACAGTTAAGGATGATGAATGGATGATTGTTCCCTACCTTTGAAATAAACACTGAATATGACGTACTGATAATTGTCACTTCCAGCCAACATGATTTACAACCAACTTGAGTATTTTATGAAATCCTACATCTAACTGATTCAATCTAGTTTGGTTCCAAATAAAATAGACGTTTTTCGATAAAATTCATATGATAAGTAGAAAACAAGTGATGTAATAAACTGAAGAACTTTGTCATGAGAAATGACGTTTTCCTTTAATATATAAAATGTAAAATTTAACGTCTGAGCACACAATCAGTGGGTTCAAGTCTTTATGATAATTCCAAACGAATGAAAATTCATCCAAATGGCGAGACCTAGATAAAAAGGAACTTGTGTTTTAGATTCTTCCGCTATTCAAAATAACTTATTGTACTGTTATTGAAAATGCCATTATTCTTAATGAACTTAACCATAATCATAGATTGTAGTTATGCTAAAAAAGATATTTGGTACTAGTAGATTAGTACTTTAACAGGGCCCAATTTAAAATTTAGGGAAATTAGGAATTTAACTCCAAATATATTTTTATTATCTTACATTAATTACCATTATTTTATCTTATTAGTACTGTAAAATAATAATAACTGATTCAGTACTTTAATTTTACACACAGTTCCGAACTGTAATTAATTTAACTCGAACAATGCTGGATCTCATAGATCGACAGCGTTCAGTTGAACTAAGATCACAAACTGGATCGAAATCAGTTGGTGGGAGCTGTTCTGATATGAGGTTAGTAGTACATTTTTATAAAAACATTTAGGTAACATAAAGTTATCATCAGCATTCTATTCTTATAATCATGAGTATAACATATGACTATACAAGATTTAGAAGTGAACATTCACTTTACGATTGAGATTGAGTAATTATCCACCATTTTATCAAAGTATCAATAATTAATGTAGTTCACAATTCAGACTAGTCGAGAAATGACAGATAAGAACCAGTAAAAAAGACCATTTTAACGTATATATTTACTACATATGAACAGTTTATAGTTCAGGATGAAACTTATTTGACTTTTATATATAAATCGGTCAAGTGATTTGTTTCTAAGAGTTTAACAACTATCAGAATAGCATAATTTGTAAATCATTCTAAGTAATTTCATTCATCAGACAGAATAAATAGTCACTGATCCCAGTAGATGGGAAATACCAAACTAGAATAAGTCAGCTGTATGATGCTTCTTGGTTTTCGCAAGTTGATATTGACCAATCACAGAACCTATCTTAAAATACCGTCATTCCTTAGAAGCTAATATTCGTTAGGTTGCATTATTATTTCATAGGTCGTATTCATGTATCTACATATTTTATTCTACTTTTTCGAATTTCTGCTATCCAGGTTTATTTTCCTTCTAATCTTAACTGCTATTTACTCCTTGAAATATTGAATGCTAAGCATTCTACCATTTGTTTTTCCTGCTCTAACAGTTCATCATTTGGTGCACCTCGAAATCTTCCGTTAATTGCTATGCAACGTCCAACTATAGATTCTGAATTATTATACGTAGATATGGATGATTCAAAGCTTTCAAGATCAAGTTTAGGTGAGAATTACAAGTTTATAAAATACTTGTTTGATTACATGTTTTAGAATAAACCATAACAATGCTTCAGAGCACAAAATGAATTGTTTCGTTTGTCAGTTTCCTAAAAGTAGTTCATTATTCTTTCTTTCCTTAATGTTTTATCGGTTTTATCAGGTTAATTATCAGGAAAAAATTATTTCGTAAATGACAGTTGAAGAATGATAAACCAAACGAGACAGATATGATGCAATGTAAATGTGTTTGCTACTGTTGGCAAGCATAATTAGGCTTATTTAATTACAAATTATTACTAGGAAACTAGATAGCTAGTAACAAATTTAAATAAAATACACTTAGCTAGACAGTTCGACTTACAATGATTTATAATGCATCTCATTCAAACTAATTGGTTTACGAAGAAAAACTATGATCCAAAAATAGATTTACCGTAAAGGAGGAACATGCTCTACAATTTTATTCCATGTGATTTTTATTAGTATTGAGAAGTATATGACAGTTGTAGAATTTTTACAGTTTAATGCACGAACTGATCCTGGATGGACCTCGTTTAAAACTGGGAAGCACAAGACAGGCGTTTTGTCGTAGTATGAGACTCCTTATTAATACTCATTAATGACCTCACCACACGGAATCGAACTAAGCACATTCAGCCTCTCGTATGAATTCCTAATCTCTAAATCACTGAGCCTGCATTCGGTGGTGCATAGTTAGCTTTAGTTGATTCGTGGTATTGTGTGATCGCCTTTCATAACCTAACATAATAAGACTTGAACATTTTTCACAACAAATGACTTACAAGCACACAGCAAAACCTATTCCATATCTTACTAAGGATGGACACTTATTTATTATACTATAGTTTTGTTGCCGTATATGTCCTAAATTATTCTGGTTTCCATTACTTCTTTGCAGAATATAGAACCAGACTCTCAAACGGAGCGTTGAGCTATTTAATTTCAAGTGATAAAAAATTTTCTCTTATGACTACGGCTTTCAATTGTACCTGTTTACATATCAACACTTAAATCAACTACTTCTACATTTTTAGACCCTTTTTTAATAATCTCCAGAAAACTTAACACCGCGGCTAGGCTGGGTCTACTTCCGATTACATTTGTATCATCTAGTGTCATATTTATACAGAACTGTATTCTTGCATCAGTTAAACAACTGTGTTACTGCTTTTGTGTATTAGTTTTATCAAAACTTAAAAACTAACGGTATTTAAGACCCTCTACTAAATACATGGTATAATACGCAAATATAAGATAATGTTTTATAAAGTGACATTAAACTTAATTCCTAAATATTGTAAACGTCTTTGATTGAAACGGTTTAATAGATATCAGTGTAACCTACTCGGCATTGAAGACATCAAACCCTCTAAAATTAATCCTGGGATGAAGTATTTAATTTTAACCATACAGGAAAAGTTCACAGAACTAAACAGTAGCATGTTACTTCCCAGTATACTGTGAAACTGCGTCTCAAAGTAAGAAATATACTCTAGAATTCGAATAATACAAATTTTTGCATAACTAAGAAACAGGCGATCTCATTATCCATCTATAATGTTAGTGTTTGCAATGATTATTCATAGTCTCCTGAAGCAAACAAGATCTTATACAATATTTAATTGTTTTATTACATCTCATAGATTATCGTCGAAGTTCTGGCAGTGAAGTCACTGGAACTAGTCGGTGGAGCAGAAACAGCTTGTTAATTCAACGGTTACAGGCATCAAAACATCGATCAGAAAGCCTATTGTTCAATACAAAGCACAGAAACTGTACGTTTCACTGGAGTGTTCATATTATGCATATATAGTGATTTAAAAAATTAACAGCAACCATATACCCCATCATTATGAACATAACTGGCTACGAATATTAAATGCATCACTATCAGCTTTTGTTCGTGAAATCTGATTTATTTCACAAGTGTAAATAGCCCACATAATTTGGTAGATAGAACTAGTTTACCCCAAAACATAGTTGATAGATTCGCGTGTTTTTGCTTCACATTATAATAATTAGCTAGTTTGGTTTTATGATGTAGTCACTCAACCGTTATTTCTGTAACCTGAAGACCTCATAGTTATGTTCTACTGAGATCCAAGTTCACCTTTTCCACACATCATACATAACAAAAACCCGAATGACTAGATTTTCGTTAAATTGGTAAGGACTTAAGTGTAGCTTTCTAATGTAGTGGCTGTGCTTCGATAATTAATCACCCTAGAACCGTTATCGTATAATCTTCAACGATGTTTGAAATCAGAAGGCAAAAAGAAGCAGCTACTACAGTTTATTTAGTAGATAATTCGGACCAGACAGCACAGAGGTAAAATGAATGAGCAAGCGAACTACGATCGTAGCAGTAGCAAGTAGTAGTAATAGTAGTAGTAGTAGTAGTAGTAGTAGTAGTAGTAGTAGTAGTAGTAGTAGTAGTAGTAGTAGTAGTAGTAGTAGTAGTAGTAGTAGTAGTAGTAGTAGTAGTAGTAGTAGTAGTAGTAGTAGTAGTAGTAGTAGTAGTAGTAGTAGTAGTAGTAGTAGTAGTAGTAGTAGTAGTAGTAGTAGTAGTAGTAGTAGTAGTAGTAGTAGTAGTAGTAGTAGTAGTAGTAGTAGTAGTAGTAGTAGTAGTAGTAGTAGTAGTAGTAGTAGTAGTAGTAGTAGTAGTAGTAGTAGTAGTAGTAGTAGTAGTAGTAGTAGTAGTAGTAGTAGTAGTAGTAGTAGTAGTAGTAGTAGTAGTAGTAGTAGTAGTAGTAGTAGTAGTAGTAGTAGTAGTAGTAGTAGTAGTAGTAGTAGTAGTAGTAGTAGTAGTAGTAGTAGTAGTAGTAGTAGTAGTAGTAGTAGTAGTAGTAGTAGTAGTAGTAGTAGTAGTAGTAGTAGTAGTAGTAGTAGTAGTAGTAGTAGTAGTAGTAGTAGTAGTAGTAGTAGTAGTAGTAGTAGTAGTAGTAGTAGTAGTAGTAGTAGTAGTAGTAGTAGTAGTAGTAGTAGTAGTAGTAGTAGTAGTAGTAGTAGTAGTAGTAGTAGTAGTAGTAGTAGTAGTAGTAGTAGTAGTAGTAGTAGTAGTAGTAGTAGTAGTAGTAGTAGTAGTAGTAGTAGTAGTAGTAGTAGTAGTAGTAGTAGTAGTAGTAGTAGTAGTAGTAGTAGTAGTAGTAGTAGTAGTAGTAGTAGTAGTAGTAGTAGTAGTAGTAGTAGTAGTAGTAGTAGTAGTAGTAGTAGTAGTAGTAGTAGTAGTAGTAGTAGTAGTAGTAGTAGTAGTAGTAGTAGTAGTAGTAGTAGTAGTAGTAGTAGTAGTAGTAGTAGTAGTAGTAGTAGTAGTAGTAGTAGTAGTAGTAGTAGTAGTAGTAGTATAGTAGTAGTAGTAGTAGTAGTAGTAGTAGTAGTAGTAGTAGTAGTAGTAGTAGTAGTAGTAGTAGTAGTAGTAGTAGTAGTAGTAGTAGTAGTAGTAGTAGTAGTAGTAGTAGTAGTAGTAGTAGTAGTAGTAGTAGTAGTAGTAGTAGTAGTAGTAGTAGTAGTAGTAGTAGTAGTAGTAGTAGTAGTAGTAGTAGTAGTAGTAGTAGTAGTAGTAGTAGTAGTAGTAGTAGTAGTAGTAGTAGTAGTAGTAGTAGTAGTAGTAGTAGTAGTAGTAGTAGTAGTAGTAGTAGTAGTAGTAGTAGTAGTAGTAGTAGTAGTAGTAGTAGTAGTAGTAGTAGTAGTAGTAGTAGTAGTAGTAGTAGTAGTAGTAGTAGTAGTAGTAGTGGTAGTAGTAGTAGTAGTAGTAGTAGTAGTAGTAGTAGTAGTAGTAGTAGTAGTAGTAGTAGTAGTAGTAGTAGTGGTAGTAGTAGTAGTGGTAGTAGTAGTAGTAGTAGTAGTAGTAGTAGTAGTAGTAGTAGTAGTGGTAGTAGTAGTAGTGGTAGTAGTAGTAGTAGTAGTAGTGGTAGTAGTAGTAGTGGTAGTAGTAGTAGTGGTAGTAGTAGTAGTGGTAGTAGTAGTAGTAGTAGTAGTGGTAGTAGTAGTAGTGGTAGTAGTAGTAGTGGTAGTAGTAGTAGTAGTAGTAGTAGTAGTAGTAGTAGTAGTAGTAGTAGTAGTAGTAGTAGTAGTAGTAGTAGTAGTAGTAGTAGTAGTAGTAGTAGTAGTAGTAGTAGTAGTAGTAGTAGTAGTAGTAGTAGTAGTAGTAGTAGTAGTAGTAGTAGTAGTAGTAGTAGTAGTAGTAGTAGTAGTAGTAGTAGTAGTAGTAGTAGTAGTAGTAGTAGTAGTAGTAGTAGTAGTAGTAGTAGTAGTAGTAGTAGTAGTAGTAGTAGTAGTAGTAGTAGTAGTAGTAGTAGTAGTAGTAGTAGTAGTAGTAGTAGTAGTAGTAGTAGTAGTAGTAGTAGTAGTAGTAGTAGTAGTAGTAGTAGTAGTAGTAGTAGTAGTAGTAGTAGTAGTAGTAGTAGTAGTAGTAGTAGTAGTAGTAGTAGTAGTAGTAGTAGTAGTAGTAGTAGTAGTAGTAGTAGTAGTAGTAGTAGTAGTAGTAGTAGTAGTAGTAGTAGTAGTAGTAGTAGTAGTAGTAGTAGTAGTAGTAGTAGTAGTAGTAGTAGTAGTAGTAGTAGTAGTAGTAGTAGTAGTAGTAGTAGTAGTAGTAGTAGTAGTAGTAGTAGTAGTAGTAGTAGTAGTAGTAGTAGTAGTAGTAGTAGTAGTAGTAGTAGTAGTAGTAGTAGTAGTAGTAGTAGTAGTAGTAGTAGTAGTAGTAGTAGTAGTAGTAGTAGTAGTAGTAGTAGTAGTAGTAGTAGTAGTAGTAGTAGTAGTAGTAGTAGTAGTAGTAGTAGTAGTAGTAGTAGTAGTAGTAGTAGTAGTAGTAGTAGTAGTAGTAGTAGTAGTAGTAGTAGTAGTAGTAGTAGTAGTAGTAGTAGTAGTAGTAGTAGTAGTAGTAGTAGTAGTAGTAGTAGTAGTAGTAGTAGTAGTAGTAGTAGTAGTAGTAGTAGTAGTAGTAGTAGTAGTAGTAGTAGTAGTAGTAGTAGTAGTAGTAGTAGTAGTAGTAGTAGTAGTAGTAGTAGTAGTAGTAGTAGTAGTAGTAGTAGTAGTAGTAGTAGTAGTAGTAGTAGTAGTAGTAGTAGTAGTAGTAGTAGTAGTAGTAGTAGTAGTAGTAGTAGTAGTAGTAGTAGTAGTAGTAGTAGTAGTAGTAGTAGTAGTAGTAGTAGTAGTAGTAGTAGTAGTAGTAGTAGTAGTAGTAGTAGTAGTAGTAGTAGTAGTAGTAGTAGTAGTAGTAGTAGTAGTAGTAGTAGTAGTAGTAGTAGTAGTAGTAGTAGTAGTAGTAGTAGTAGTAGTAGTAGTAGTAGTAGTAGTAGTAGTAGTAGTAGTAGTAGTAGTAGTAGTAGTAGTAGTAGTAGTAGTAGTAGTAGTAGTAGTAGTAGTAGTAGTAGTAGTAGTAGTAGTAGTAGTATAGTAGTAGTAGTAGTAGTAGTAGTAGTAGTAGTAGTAGTAGTAGTAGTAGTAGTAGTAGTAGTAGTAGTAGTAGTAGTAGTAGTAGTAGTAGTAGTAGTAGTAGTAGTAGTAGTAGTAGTAGTAGTAGTAGTAGTAGTAGTAGTAGTAGTAGTAGTAGTAGTAGTAGTAGTAGTAGTAGTAGTAGTAGTAGTAGTAGTAGTAGTAGTAGTAGTAGTAGTAGTAGTAGTAGTAGTAGTAGTAGTAGTAGTAGTAGTAGTAGTAGTAGTAGTAGTAGTAGTAGTAGTAGTAGTAGTAGTAGTAGTAGTAGTAGTAGTAGTAGTAGTAGTAGTAGTAGTAGTAGTAGTAGTAGTAGTAGTAGTAGTAGTAGTAGTAGTAGTAGTAGTAGTAGTAGTAGTAGTAGTAGTAGTAGTAGTAGTAGTAGTAGTAGTAGTAGTAGTAGTAGTAGTAGTAGTAGTAGTAGTAGTAGTAGTAGTAGTAGTAGTAGTAGTAGTAGTAGTAGTAGTAGTAGTAGTAGTAGTAGTAGTAGTAGTAGTAGTAGTAGTAGTAGTAGTAGTAGTAGTAGTAGTAGTAGTAGTAGTAGTAGTAGTAGTAGTAGTAGTAGTAGTAGTAGTAGTAGTAGTAGTAGTAGTAGTAGTAGTAGTAGTAGTAGTAGTAGTAGTAGTAGTAGTAGTAGTAGTAGTAGTAGTAGTAGTAGTAGTAGTAGTAGTAGTAGTAGTAGTAGTAGTAGTAGTAGTAGTAGTAGTAGTAGTAGTAGTAGTAGTAGTAGTAGTAGTAGTAGTAGTAGTAGTAGTAGTAGTAGTAGTAGTAGTAGTAGTAGTAGTAGTAGTAGTAGTAGTAGTAGTAGTAGTAGTAGTAGTAGTAGTAGTAGTAGTAGTAGTAGTAGTAGTAGTAGTAGTAGTAGTAGTAGTAGTAGTAGTAGTAGTAGTAGTAGTAGTAGTAGTAGTAGTAGTAGTAGTAGTAGTAGTAGTAGTAGTAGTAGTAGTAGTAGTAGTAGTAGTAGTAGTAGTAGTAGTAGTAGTAGTAGTAGTAGTAGTAGTAGTAGTAGTAGTAGTAGTAGTAGTAGTAGTAGTAGTAGTAGTAGTAGTAGTAGTAGTAGTAGTAGTAGTAGTAGTAGTAGTAGTAGTAGTAGTAGTAGTAGTAGTAGTAGTAGTAGTAGTAGTAGTAGTAGTAGTAGTAGTAGTAGTAGTAGTAGTAGTAGTAGTAGTAGTAGTAGTAGTAGTAGTAGTAGTAGTAGTAGTAGTAGTAGTAGTAGTAGTAGTAGTAGTAGTAGTAGTAGTAGTAGTAGTAGTAGTAGTAGTAGTAGTAGTAGTAGTAGTAGTAGTAGTAGTAGTAGTAGTAGTAGTAGTAGTAGTAGTAGTAGTAGTAGTAGTAGTAGTAGTAGTAGTAGTAGTAGTAGTAGTAGTAGTAGTAGTAGTAGTAGTAGTAGTAGTAGTAGTAGTAGTAGTAGTAGTAGTAGTAGTAGTAGTAGTAGTAGTAGTAGTAGTAGTAGTAGTAGTAGTAGTAGTAGTAGTAGTAGTAGTAGTAGTAGTAGTAGTAGTAGTAGTAGTAGTAGTAGTAGTAGTAGTAGTAGTAGTAGTAGTAGTAGTAGTAGTAGTAGTAGTAGTAGTAGTAGTAGTAGTAGTAGTAGTAGTAGTAGTAGTAGTAGTAGTAGTAGTAGTAGTAGTAGTAGTAGTAGTAGTAGTAGTAGTAGTAGTAGTAGTAGTAGTAGTAGTAGTAGTAGTAGTAGTAGTAGTAGTAGTAGTAGTAGTAGTAGTAGTAGTAGTAGTAGTAGTAGTAGTAGTAGTAGTAGTAGTAGTAGTAGTAGTAGTAGTAGTAGTAGTAGTAGTAGTAGTAGTAGTAGTAGTAGTAGTAGTAGTAGTAGTAGTAGTAGTAGTAGTAGTAGTAGTAGTAGTAGTAGTAGTAGTAGTAGTAGTAGTAGTAGTAGTAGTAGTAGTAGTAGTAGTAGTAGTAGTAGTAGTAGTAGTAGTAGTAGTAGTAGTAGTAGTAGTAGTAGTAGTAGTAGTAGTAGTAGTAGTAGTAGTAGTAGTAGTAGTAGTAGTAGTAGTAGTAGTAGTAGTAGTAGTAGTAGTAGTAGTAGTAGTAGTAGTAGTAGTAGTAGTAGTAGTAGTAGTAGTAGTAGTAGTAGTAGTAGTAGTAGTAGTAGTAGTAGTAGTAGTAGTAGTAGTAGTAGTAGTAGTAGTAGTAGTAGTAGTAGTAGTAGTAGTAGTAGTAGTAGTAGTAGTAGTAGTAGTAGTAGTAGTAGTAGTAGTAGTAGTAGTAGTAGTAGTAGTAGTAGTAGTAGTAGTAGTAGTAGTAGTAGTAGTAGTAGTAGTAGTAGTAGTAGTAGTAGTAGTAGTAGTAGTAGTAGTAGTAGTAGTAGTAGTAGTAGTAGTAGTAGTAGTAGTAGTAGTAGTAGTAGTAGTAGTAGTAGTAGTAGTAGTAGTAGTAGTAGTAGTAGTAGTAGTAGTAGTAGTAGTAGTAGTAGTAGTAGTAGTAGTAGTAGTAGTAGTAGTAGTAGTAGTAGTAGTAGTAGTAGTAGTAGTAGTAGTAGTAGTAGTAGTAGTAGTAGTAGTAGTAGTAGTAGTAGTAGTAGTAGTAGTAGTAGTAGTAGTAGTAGTAGTAGTAGTAGTAGTAGTAGTAGTAGTAGTAGTAGTAGTAGTAGTAGTAGTAGTAGTAGTAGTAGTAGTAGTAGTAGTAGTAGTAGTAGTAGTAGTAGTAGTAGTAGTAGTAGTAGTAGTAGTAGTAGTAGTAGTAGTAGTAGTAGTAGTAGTAGTAGTAGTAGTAGTAGTAGTAGTAGTAGTAGTAGTAGTAGTAGTAGTAGTAGTAGTAGTAGTAGTAGTAGTAGTAGTAGTAGTAGTAGTAGTAGTAGTAGTAGTAGTAGTAGTAGTAGTAGTAGTAGTAGTAGTAGTAGTAGTAGTAGTAGTAGTAGTAGTAGTAGTAGTAGTAGTAGTAGTAGTAGTAGTAGTAGTAGTAGTAGTAGTAGTAGTAGTAGTAGTAGTAGTAGTAGTAGTAGTAGTAGTAGTAGTAGTAGTAGTAGTAGTAGTAGTAGTAGTAGTAGTAGTAGTAGTAGTAGTAGTAGTAGTAGTAGTAGTAGTAGTAGTAGTAGTAGTAGTAGTAGTAGTAGTAGTAGTAGTAGTAGTAGTAGTAGTAGTAGTAGTAGTAGTAGTAGTAGTAGTAGTAGTAGTAGTAGTAGTAGTAGTAGTAGTAGTAGTAGTAGTAGTAGTAGTAGTAGTAGTAGTAGTAGTAGTAGTAGTAGTAGTAGTAGTAGTAGTAGTAGTAGTAGTAGTAGTAGTAGTAGTAGTAGTAGTAGTAGTAGTAGTAGTAGTAGTAGTAGTAGTAGTAGTAGTAGTAGTAGTAGTAGTAGTAGTAGTAGTAGTAGTAGTAGTAGTAGTAGTAGTAGTAGTAGTAGTAGTAGTAGTAGTAGTAGTAGTAGTAGTAGTAGTAGTAGTAGTAGTAGTAGTAGTAGTAGTAGTAGTAGTAGTAGTAGTAGTAGTAGTAGTAGTAGTAGTAGTAGTAGTAGTAGTAGTAGTAGTAGTAGTAGTAGTAGTAGTAGTAGTAGTAGTAGTAGTAGTAGTAGTAGTAGTAGTAGTAGTAGTAGTAGTAGTAGTAGTAGTAGTAGTAGTAGTAGTAGTAGTAGTAGTAGTAGTAGTAGTAGTAGTAGTAGTAGTAGTAGTAGTAGTAGTAGTAGTAGTAGTAGTAGTAGTAGTAGTAGTAGTAGTAGTAGTAGTAGTAGTAGTAGTAGTAGTAGTAGTAGTAGTAGTAGTAGTAGTAGTAGTAGTAGTAGTAGTAGTAGTAGTAGTAGTAGTAGTAGTAGTAGTAGTAGTAGTAGTAGTAGTAGTAGTAGTAGTAGTAGTAGTAGTAGTAGTAGTAGTAGTAGTAGTAGTAGTAGTAGTAGTAGTAGTAGTAGTAGTAGTAGTAGTAGTAGTAGTAGTAGTAGTAGTAGTAGTAGTAGTAGTAGTAGTAGTAGTAGTAGTAGTAGTAGTAGTAGTAGTAGTAGTAGTAGTAGTAGTAGTAGTAGTAGTAGTAGTAGTAGTAGTAGTAGTAGTAGTAGTAGTAGTAGTAGTAGTAGTAGTAGTAGTAGTAGTAGTAGTAGTAGTAGTAGTAGTAGTAAATGTAGTAGTAGTAAATGGGTGCAAGTGTACACATATATATATGTATAGGAAAATGGATGAGTCAGGGAATAGATTAAGCAGTTAATAATGAAGCTAGCAGAATGAATTCATGCGTAGGCGCTAAACAATGTTCAAGCATATGTATTTCATACAGGCATAATAATAAAGATAGTACAACAAGTTTTTATATCATGAATGACTTTGTCCATTAAATAGGTCAACAAAAGGCCTTGACTGAACTAAACTCAATTGCACGTGAGTCACTATACTAACTCTTCATCGTACACGAAAATCTGTTGAAAGGCTATTGAAAACTTCATAAAGCTGGGAGGTTGATTTGTTTGAGTTTGGGATTTTTCAGTGTACTACCCACTTCATATAAAGTATAGTAACAAACTTCAGATACTATCTAGTAAACATGATACATGGAATCCATTTGTTTGCATAATTTAAATATAGCCCAATCCTGACCTTCATCATTAATGCGTTACTGTTTAAAACACCACTCCTTAAACTTAGTTAGTTATAGAAATGCACTAAAAACGCTAGTAAATTTACTTCGAAACAGCTAACTGCTGACCATATTATTATTTTTTTAAATGATGCTTACAGCATTTATTTCAAACTCCTCAATATTGACTTTTTAGAGTACTCCGGTATCATAAGAGGTTATAACAAACACTTTGCTTCATTATTTTACTTAATGACCTATAATAAAAATATGTTGGACAAAAATAAATTGTAACCAGCCGCTAGGTTTACTAATCCAAAACACTAACTCCGACAAAATTCAATCGTAATCTCTCGATATGAATTAAATAAAGAAATTAAAAAGATTTACAAAAACGATATAATTTATTCACGATAAAAAGAGAGGGTGAAAATTAGTGTTCGGCATACAGAATGATAAGTGTATAATTACTTTCTGAAACCATTTAATTAAGAAGTATTTTCTAGTCAGAATGTACTTTAAAATAAAAACCAAAACAAAAAATTGTTTGAACACACACGCATAAAAGTATCTGTTAGTTACCTTAATGAATGGATATACTGATTTTCTTTTTTAATTTGTTGAATTTAATCATTCCGATTATTAGTTGTCAAGATAGCGAAAAGAAGGATCTTTTAATATGAACTTGTTCCATTCATTTCTTATTGAATTCCCTGATTCTACTTTGTAATTATGATGAAACCAGTAAAATACAATACATTTGTCAAAAACCTTTATTTTGCGGTTATTTTTATATTTAGCCATTGGTGATCATAGATTTTGGAATGAAAGTGCAAGTAATCCAAATTTCAATTATCATGGACATTCAAGTACAAATTCTCGTATAGGACCAAGTCCATTTTATAATTCAAGTCCAACTTGTGACGATCTATATAAAATGAGAAGATATTCTGGAAATATTTTAACTCGATCAACAGATAATCAAGTGAATGTATATGTTAGTAAACTCATGTTTTATAGAAAAAATTATATATTAAATGGAGTTTTTTTTCAAATTTCAATTATTATTCTTAGAAAAAAGTGAAGCATGTAGTGGGTAGTAACAAGATGCCTAGGAAGAAACTGATTCCACTTTACGTAGACTGTTAAGATAACAATAATTAACCACTTCAGATAAAAAGGACAATCAAGTTGGTAGTTTTTAATTCTTTTCACATATATATATATATATATATATATATATATATATATATATATATATATATATATATATATATATATATATATATATATATGGAAATAAATGCAGTATTATGTTGTAAGATGTATACTCTACTTTAAGAAACTGAATCACTTTCGCTAACCAGTATATACATAAAATAATCAGTAACCAGTTTCCTTGATAAACATTCACTGAAAAGTCTAGTAATTAACTCTAGATGACTCAGTAACGGTATGTGAAAAGAATTGTTGATGAAATTTCCTGTAGTATCATACGTATTATTGTAGCGACTATTCAACACCAAGATTCTTGAATAGACAATTAGAAATAAAAAAATAAACAAACCAACAACTGAACTTGTTTGATAGTGATGTTTGTTTCATGAATAAAACATTTGCTTATTAACCACAAATCGTCTCATAATTTGTGAATTTCAGTCGACTTTGCTTACTTTTTACACATACGAAGGGATGAAACATTTTATTAATTTGTATTGAGTATGTGTCTAATAATTAGGTAACTGGTCTATAATAAGACCAAACCTTATGTGATTTACACAATCCATCATTAAATATAAAATTTTTTGTAAAACTACGTCCAGTAATGAAAAGCATGAATAATTGCTTCTCTATTTAGCGATATAGAAACCTCTGTGATACATATTAGTTTACAGTTTACAGTGCTAATAAATTAAACATTGAAGCAAATCAATCAAACAGTTTCTTTCAATTTTTCAACGACTCTCTAGTAGGTGTTTTTGTTATGTGAAAAATCAGCTTCATAGCTTTGAAAGTATGCCACCAAGTGTCGTTATACAACCGAATAGTTGTTGCAGCTATTTCTTCACCACGAGAACACTGGTTAAATTTATGGTCAACCAATAAAATCAAAGAAGAGCAATGTCTATTTTAAACTTATTTATTTTTGTTAAAATTTAGCAAAATTTATAATCATAATCTTGAAAACTATCAAAAAGAAGCATTAGGCAAAAACTTAAATTGTAAACACCTAGATATTGATGTGGCCATTTACTTCGTCAAATAAGAGATATATGACTCAATGACACACATAATTCATTTGAGTTTACTGTAAATTTATGATTTTCAACTGGTAAAGAGATAGAATGATGTCCTGTTCCTAAATCAAATCAACAAATAATGTCATTTTAATATTCTTACTTTTTTATTTCAAAGGATAATTTAGGTTCCTTAAATGTTCCAAGATACAACAATGGTTTTCTAGACCCTAGAAGACATAGTTATGGTTTTACACCTAGTACATCAACGAAATCTCTAATTACAGTCAATGTATGCGAAGGTCCTTTTGTTACTCCGCTCAGTCACCGTGGTTCAATACGTCGAAATTCTGGTTGGAGCTGTGGTCAATTTTCTGCTTCTCAAGTAAATCTAACTATTTCTTTAATTCATCAATACGATCTGTTTTTTATAATAAGCATCGTGTGTATTTTGTCTGTTATCTCAAAGTATAGGTTAGTACCAGTAAAGTTAATAGTACAAACACTGCAAGAGAACTCCGACAGTATTAAGTCAATTACAATTTCTAATATTCATTTCTTTAAATCTGACAGTTCACCAGAGAATACTCTTTTTATTATGAAAACTCAAAGACTTCTAGTTTTTTGCAAAGTGGAAAAATAGGTACAAGTACTACTGCACTTTCGACGTATTACATAATTTCAGTGAGTTAAACAAAATTGAATCTTTAAATAAAGGGAGAATAAATGTACAAGGATGGTTACGTGATATTTCCAAAGAATATACTCCTTAGCTTACTAATTGTTGACTTAAAAGCACTAATGAAATTGTTTAAATAACGAAAAATTGAGTGGAAATCTAATTTTTCAATAAAAGTTTAAATGAAGTAACCAGTGAGAATTGGATTTTATGGAAAAAATATAGGTTTCTTCATAAAAGCTTTTATACTTAGTGTGCCTAATCCGATTTTATAGCTCAAATATCATTTCAGGAGTCCGAAAAATCCCTTTAGTGGATTTTGTTCGGTCAGATTATTTTCATCAATAGGAATTTTCATTGAATCAAATCAAAGATCAAATTAAGTCAGATGGAATACCGTTGAACACCAGGGAGCATAAGACAGCTATTTCAATTTGATTCTTTACTCCTTGGCAGAACATCCCACCTCTTTATACCAGATTAAACTCAGTCGAATTAAATAAAGCTAATAACTCCATACTACCAATGAAAAAAGATGTAGAAACTGTCACTGTATTTTAAATCAGCATTCATCAAATTTGAGTGAGTAGTTTGATAGAAACTGCACGCTGAATATACAGAAGAAATTAAATACAAAAATTCTGATTACAGTGATATCAAAAATTTGAAATTTAACAGTATAGGGTTGTGGAAATTATTAAGCTTTTGATTAAGGAGTACCACAATAGGATGAAACGGTCGTCCACTTCTTCCAGTTTTTCAATGGTGGTCTAACATCAATCGGTTCATGATCTCAATCAAAATTGAAATTTAAGTAATTCCACTGTTTTACCCTGCAAACTCATCACAGCCTTTTCAGAAAAGTAACTAAAATCAGCATTATCAGAGAATTTCTGAAGTTTAACAACAAAATCACACTAAAACCTTGTCCAATCATTTTCATTTTATTTGAGCAAGGTCATAAGGCAGTCTGATGTTTTACTCGTTCATAGTGTGAGAAATATGAGAATGTATTTATGTATTTGGATTATATTATCACCAGAAAATAGTGAGAAAACGATGCCTCTGGCTATGACGAAGAACAAATTAAACGTTAGTAATTATTATAAACCTAACAGTACATGTGGGTAAGAAATTAAACTAATAGAAGTGTCTAATCAGATCATTTACTTAGTTGCTGGGTTAATTCTAAAGATAATCCAGACATAATTTCCACATAAGAATCTTATGTTGCTGGTACTAAGTTGAAAGTGGTTGATATAAATGTTTATATGTTTATTTGTTAATCAACAATTACTATAAAGTAACCAACTGTAAGTTTTTGACCTTTAAAATCCAGCATTTTGTGTCATACATATCTAAAAACGTTTTGATTGTACATCAAGTCTCCATAGATGATGATATTGTGTTAGTAAGCTCGTAATGAATGTGGAAAGGACTTTAAAAGAATAAACACTTAAACCTTCCATTCTTATCGGTTGATTTGACCGTTCCATATACTATTCAGGTTATTCAATATGTTGCAACCTCTCCAAAATTATGAAAGTGAATATAGCCATGAATACTTTTGCGGATGTATATACTTACCATGAAACAGATTACTAGACGCAAGGCGTTTAATAGGTTGTAATGATTGATGGAATGATTATATACATCAGTTAACTATTTCTGTAAAAGTTTAGTGCAGTCAGTATACATACCATGGTAATTTTCATTAAATTACAATAATAACCAACAAATTTTTATCTCAACTTATTGCTTGTGGACACATTAAAATGAGAAATGGATTCTTCATAAACGTCCATAGATTTGTACAGTTCAAAAGACTATATGAATAAAATAATAGTTTGAAGATAAATGCGTTAATGAAATCAATATTATCAGAAGGGGTTTGTGGAGATTATAGAAATTTCACAGACTGAAATCATGAGTCAATTGAAGCTAGACCACAATGGAAAACCTGAAAGCACTGGACGGCCGTTTCGTCCTGGTATGGGACTCCACCGCAGTGCGCATCCACAATCCCGCACCCCCCGAGATCCGAACCCAGGACCTATCGGTCTCGCGTCAGGCGCTTCGTGGATTGGTTGAAGTTAGACGTTAACAACACTGGATGCCGGCTCAGTGGTCTAGTTGGTTAAGCGCCTGGCGCGAGACTGATATTTCCTGGGTTCGGACCTCGTGGGGTGCAGGATTGTGGATGCACACTGCGGAGGAGTCCCATACTAGGACGAAACGGCCGTCCAGTGCTTCCAGGTTTTCCATGGTGGTCTAGCTTCAATTGACTCATGATTTCAATCTGTGAAATCAATATTATTTGAAAATAATTTAAATAAAATCAATTACTATTAAAAACCTGGAAGCACTGGACGGCCGTTTCGTTCTAGTGTGTCTCCTCAACATTGCGCATCTACGACCCCGAACACGGGATTCAAACTCAGGTTTTCAATGGTGGTCTAAGATTCACCGATTCATGATCTCAATCAAAAACTTAGCAATTTCCACAAACACTCACTGATTATTGTTAAAAATTAAGTATCACCAATATTCTCAGAGTATAAGACTAAAATTTTGGTTGTACAATCAATGAAACAAACGATTCTGTAAAAATGTTATGAGAAGTTACTTACTAAACATAAAAACTTAGGTCGATTAGTTTGACAAAGTAATTAGTACACTAGGTCAAATTATTAATCAGTGTGTTCATAACTTTACAGCAAAACACTTTAGAATTAACCTTCCACAATATAAATATGCATAAATTTAAAAAAATTCAAACTTCAGATTTAGACAGTATGATATTCTCATGAATTTGACCAAAAATAGTCGTTTTCTGCATGAACAAGCTACTGTCATAAGTATTGTAATCTGTAGAATGGTTAATACTCCAACCAAACAGGAACACAGACAAAGACCAATAGTCTTAAGCCATCGCTTTAAAAATTGTTTGTCGTTGTGTAAAAATATCACACTTTAATTCATATAAAATGACAATCTATTGAAGCACTCAGTTTGTACAAGCTGTCAAAACTAACAGAATTTCACAGTTGTATGGTTTCGAAATAAAACATTTCTTCATTTCTCTAATTTACTGCCTAGAGACGGAACAAACAATAACAGACTGCTACTCTCCGTTCTAAGTAGTTTCATAGTAGTTAGAATACTCAGTCGTTAATAAAATGGTCTATATACTTACTACTCTTCAAGATCATTCTGGACAACCAGGTAATATTAGTAGTCCTCACAAAACCAGCGACTTAGAACATAAGCCTGCACTTGGTAAATGAGTTACACTAATTTATACACATTTCTAAGTGGATTACATAAGTTTAACAGCAATATCGGTAATCAAATAAAAACCTGACTTTAAAAAGTATATTTCCAGTTTTTCAAAAAGAGGGTTAATATGGTAATCAAATAAATTTTGATAAATATATGTCCTATTTTTTCTGTAAAACAATAGTCACTTCTCCATATAGTTACAACAAAATTTGAAAATTACACAGCAAAATACAATCAGTACTCCATACATACATATATATATGTATATTTTTATTCTGAAAATCAGGTCACGAAACCCACTGATGAAGATATTCAAAGACGTTGCAGCTTGAATGCTATAGGTGATCTGCTGGTGAGCTAATTAAGTGAAACAAAGTTAAATTAATACTAACATTCATAGTGTAGTAATAAAAAGAAATACATTAAGTTATCATAAAATGCACACCTACAGTAATATTTGTATACGATGTTGTAAATTTTAGTTACTGTACATATAAGCGTATATATATTGGTTTTTATCTAATTTCCTTCAAATATCGTTGTTACTTTCTTGTCCATTCACTTAATGGTCAGTAATAATCACTAATAATATTCCTTTTTATTGATTTCGAACATTTTCATTTTCCCGACAAGTTGTCTAATATATGTTTTGCAATCATTATTCTTTCACACTACTTTTCAGTTTAGCATGGTTTGTTTAACTAAAATAATAATTGTTTGTGTATATGTTATGCAATTGTGAGACAAATTAACTAAAATCCATTTGTTTAGATTAATTTTCTTTTTCCCAATTCCATTTTACAAATATCGTAATGTTAAAAAAACAAAACAAAAACCCATAATAAATTCAGAGCATTAGTTCACTGAACTCAACCAAGCGAATCTAAATTCACTAGTTTACCTATTCGAATTCAATAAATCTACTGCAACGTGTAAGTTTCTGTCTCACTCTCAACTTGATTGACTAAACAGGTTATAGCTTCTTTATTAAACCTTCAAAATCCTATCTAATGAGCAAAATTATTTGTTGATTCCTCACGTTAAGATTGTTTCGATATTCCTAACAGAGTTCGAGAATAAACCACATAATATTCCTAAATAGATTGGTCGTATGAATCTTTAGATATCACTACAAAGGGTTGACTTGGTAATTTCAAATGTAATGAGCATTGGATGGATTGTTATTAATAAAAATAATTTATTTGTAATATCCTAATCAGTACGAAAATTAAATTTTCTAACGTTTCGTGACTTAGTGTAAACCACTTCTTAAAAGAATAGATAAAAATCAAATTAACGCAAGTTTAAATAGTACGAAGGAACAAAGCACAAATATTTGGTACTATCAATCAAAAATCAGGTCCAGCCTAATCAATGTCATATTACTCCGGTCGAAGAGATTCATGTGATTATGAACTGTTTCTTGATTAATTTTCTAAATAGCTCATTAGCACTTTTAAAGAGAACAGTGTTAATTTTTGTACTGATTAGGTAAATTCATTTTTTTATTAATTTATAAGATGTACTTCATCAGAACTATACTCAGTGCCACAACTTGTCTGCCAGTTAAATTAAGAACTACATCCTGTAAGATTAAACGTATTGAGATAATTAACATGAGTAACATTCAACATAACAAATTATCACTTAGTTTCATTGTAATACAGTATGTCATGACTGACAAAATTTAACTCATACAATTGATCATATTAATCATTGCGCTGATGCAATGAAGTAGTAAATGAATTTAATACTAATATAGTATGAAGATGTCTGATGTGTGTATTTATGAACGGTTTAGTGATGATTCTTAGCTCAGCAATTAAACACATATAGATGAAAGAGCACTTAAATCGTTCAAGATTTTAGAAGTCCCATTTTTCCACCAAAAAAATTATGACTGTTTAGAAATCTACAATACCAGCTTAGTGTAAGTTAATAGTTAGCATATATGATACCATATCAACTCCTACTTATTACACTAAGCAAAGTCAGACTGTAGAACTTGTCTATTACTTACTTTGTCTTATTAGTCAACAGTACAACTATATACTAAACAATTTAAAATGGTCCCACACACTACTGTTCACTGTATATAAGTAATCAAATTTCAACGTTAAATTAGGACATCAATTCATTTCAATTGAATACTTCTAAGTACTTATGTTTTTCCTTACATTTTGTTTTTAACTTCTAATTAGGTATCAACATTCAAGAAAGTTTTGTGAAATATTTACTAAATTAAAAGAAGGCGCTTTTTATCAAAATTATAATAAATAATATTGTTATTATTGTTTTATTATCAGATTTATATTTATGTTCATTATTTTGATGTGTATTCAACTTCACTTTTAACTCCATGTTTACAAGTTATGTAAAAATAAATAAATAAAAGAGAACGATTCAATGTTCAATAATCCTCCAGTGAACTTTCCTTTATTGTCTATTTAATAAATTGTAAAAATTTGAATTCAGTAACGGCGAAGAAATAATGTTCCGTATAACATATTTTTGTTTTCTTTAAAAAGTAAGTGAACTTTTTTCAAATATTCTTAAACATTCAAAAATGTTCCACTTAAATTTTGGAAAAAATAAATCGATGTGACAAAAACATTTCTCTTTATTTTTGTTAAGTAACACATCTTTATACGGATACTTGTATGAAAAAAAAATTTTGTTAGATGTTTAAAATTTAAGGATCTTGAGTTATACAGTTGTTAGTGTACAACTTAAGTGTTCAAATCTTGATTCGTACACTTCAGTTAAAGCATCAGAATAATTTCTCTTTAATTACAATAAAGAAGAGAAATTTGCAAGGTTACGGTAGATCTGGCAACCATTATTAATAGTAGTATTAGAAAGAACAAAAAGAAGGAATCTAACCGTACGAAAATGACTTCCAACATATAATTCATTCATTTTTGTCTCTGTTTATTTATTTTAAACAGGCAAGAATAATGTAGATAAATAAGCATAGATAAGTTTATATAATTATAGGAATTTCATATGAATGAAAGAAAACTATAGGCATTATCTGGATTTATATATAACAAATATATTCACAATGACACATAAAATAGGCGCATAAGTTCTGAACTTTGCATCAATTTACATAACAACTTGTCATGTAGATTTATGATAACGACTGTACTTTCAATTATTGTTTATTACATCCCAAACATGTAAAGCTGCTTCGAGTTCATAACAAACCAGGAAGCACTAGATAGTTGTTTCGCTATAACTTGATTCACTTTATTAGTAAACGTGTACAATTCCACATAGTTCATTGGACTTACGTTCTCTGGGACAGCGTGGAAGTTTTCTATCACCAACTCGGGATCTAGTGTCCACATTTTTTAAAATCAAACAACTTGTGACCTTAAGTTAAAATATTTGATGAATAACCGCCTTATTTAGGACTTTCTTGAAACAAATGATCAAGCATTAGATTAGAATTTCGGGAAATTTAAAGTAGTTACTAGTATTTATACTTAGTATTTTCCCGAGTGCGAATAGTATAACTCTGAGACGACCAGTGCTGACAAGATATTTGAAAATACGCTTGTACTATGAATCTTTACCAAATGTGCATTAGCAGATTGCGAAAAGCAGACTACAATGAGGAAAACAATGGGTTACTAAACGGGAAATTCAGCTTTCCTTCGCATCTTTGAATGGGTATGATTTGAAATCACAATATAAATAGGTCATTTGAAAATTACGTAACACAAGCACTTAATTTATTCACTTCTGACAGTTGATGGATGCAAAAATTGCTCCAGTATTGATAAAAAAACAAATTTGTCAGCTCAGGTGACTAGAACTATGGTACTACTTCGAATACTGTACACATACTAAAGGCTAATAATAAACACATCCTTGACGAGAGATACATAGCTAGGTAAAAAAGGCATCGAGATATTGATGACGCCATTTTGCTTACCAAGACTTGTAAGCCAGCATGCGTTGATAATATGATTGTTCTGAATTATAAATAAAGTTCTACAATCCTAACTTGTGGATGTTAAGATCTAAGTTCCTTCAATAAATAAACCTTAGGTGAGGAGAATTACTGTGTTGATCACTCAATTATTGAAGATTTTCTCATAGATGTATTCAACTTGACATCTTAATTGCACATTCATTCTCTTTAATTGATATGGCTTTTTAACTTGCCATAATTGCCAAAATTAGTGTGATTAAATCTTATCACATTTTCTTAGTATTCAAAACAGGAAAGACGCGAAATCTACCATTTAAATTTACAACACGGACTAACTCAAACATGATTTCATAAGCTTACCCTAATATACTGTGCGCCATAACAGTGTATAGGAATGAATAGCTGTAGATATTGTAGAAGTTATTACGAACAATTGTTAGAGCAGGTATCCCTACTTTTTGAATTTGCTATGGGGGTTCTAAAACTTGTCAAATTTATCTGCGTTCAACAAATTTTAATAAGAGGAATCGTGCTACTTTAATTATTGTCAGTAGCCTGGTAGTATTGATTTAGATTTCACATGAATAGCTGGCAGGCATTAATCCACGTTCAAAGCCTATATGAGAAGAGAAGACTTCTAAGCCTTAACTGGCAGACTGAAGGTAATTTCATGAATCGTTTAGAATAAATCTAATAATAAAGTATGCACAATTTCCCGACACCTGCTTTATTGATTTTTTTAAGAATAATAGGTTTATGAGACAATCTTAACATTGGTACAGTATAGAATTACCAAGATAAATTGCTCATTATTACAGCAAGTATCTACTTAACATATATTCAAACCTTAATCATTCGAAATATATCCTGGAAACGCTTTTAATAGTCAGTATGTTTCACTCGTATCCAATTATCAGTTTTCCACCAGTTCAGCTGCAATAACCATTTTCATTTATAGAAAGTATTAGTGAGATAATCTGGTCTTCATACTGTTAAATTATAATTTAGCTTTTTCAAGACGCTAGATGTTATTCTCACGTAAATGTTTGGCTTTAGGTTTCTTTTAATGAACAAGGAAGTGTAACCATCTTCAGTGAGCATTCGCCATATTTTACGCCACCTTCCGTCCATTGTGTCCTTGATATGTATTCCTCTGGAACTCAAGCTATAGTGCATGGGTTAAGTTTCTTTCTTCAGCTTCGAAAGAGTTCAACTCTAGAAATTCGTATACCTTCTGATCCAAGTTGACCTTTTATATGCCAACCATTGTGGAGAACCACTTAGTTTTCGTTTTTGCATCAACATCATAGAAACGAATGCAATGATCGACTTTAGTCAAGCTAAAATTTTTATATTGATTGCTACTTACTCTACTAGTCCAGTTTGTTTTTCAAATGTTTTCAACTATGCATTTGGGCTTTCCATATTTTCCAAGTGGGAAATTATGATTTTCCTTCCTTTTTTTTAACTGCATGATTCGGTTCAAAACAAAGGTTTGATTTATTAGTTGTGTTATGAATGCGGGACGTGATCACTCCGAAGATAACTGCGATACCGTATACACTAGCTCTACTCGCTGTTACATCCTCTACTTGATTATGGTATAAGACGATATACAACTACCGGCACTTGAACGTGTAGAACCCCACAGTCGCAAATCAGAAGACAAGATTCAAGGAAAAGATCATTCGTTGGCTATGACATCATTATAATCCAGCCAATCAGCAAGGAGGTAATTTATGCTACCGTCTAATAGTAGCATGCCACGTTGATAATCTAGAAAGCTCTGGTTGGATGGGAACACTTCAGCTTCGTTAGAGCCTCTGGAGGCCTCATCGTGCTTCTCGGCGACGTCTCAACAAATGCCTCTACTCCCCTAGCCACTACAAATGAATAAACTTGTTAAGATTTATTGGACAAGACCAAAAAAGATTTAGCTTACATTCAATTTAATTCAGTGATTACTAACTACCAAGATTTATCATAGTGAGATAACCAATACAAGAGAAATGTGTTGAGAACTAGGTAACTAAAAACGGCTGATAAACAATGATCGTAAAGATGCATCGTAAATCAATATGAGGACCAAAAATTGATCTTCGTTCTCGTTTGTTGTATTTGAGAGTATTATTACCAACGGGTTGCACGAACAACTTTAGTTAATTTACAATGATATTGAGCTTATCATGAAGATTGATTCCCATAAAATCAAAAGTATCTGTGTATATCCTAGTTAATTTAATAAAAGTATACTTTAGTATTGGATTTTATGTAATTGCATGGATGATGCCATATATGTTATCTGATATGATAATCCAGAAGTATAGCTATTTATCCTCCCAACGGACTGTTTTGAATTTCAAGAGAAAAATCAACCCTGGAGTGTAGACGAACCCAGCTGACGAATCTCCGTAAGAACGAGACTTGTTTACTTCATTCCACTGCTAACCACAATCCAAATACACCAAGATCTCCGAATCTTACATTACTTTAAGTTTTCAAGTGTTTCATAAAATTTTTCTCGTTGGATATGACTAAACCGTTAATAGACGTTTCTCATAAAAAATATTTTTAGTTGCTGACAACGCGTAATATTATCTAGGAATTGCTTCATAAATTAATTGAAATGTTTATTAATCAATAAACATATAAAAAAGTACATATTTTTCAGTACGATTCAGTTCAGGATAAAATGTCGCCAACCATAAAATCCCACTAGAAACTGATAGCAACCGAAAAAACTCAGGGAGCATTAAATACCTGAGTATTGTCGCCTGAGACCACTCACACCACTGAACCCATAACTGTCAAGTGCCGCAACGAGGATGATGATACTAACCGATTAAATCCCAAACCAACAGTCTGCATTTCAAACTTTGTGAATCCGCGAGAGAGCATGTGATTCTCAGTTCATTGTGAGAATGAGGCAACTAGATAAGCATCAATTAGTGTGGTCCACATAACATTCCGAATGATGTCATGAGTGTATATATGAAGACTGCAAGATTTACTTTTATCAAAATCAAAGGAGTATAGAACCACGATTTCCAATGAAGTTTTGGCTAGTTACATCTAAATGTAAATAACTGTTTACTTGCTTCGGAACCGAGAGTAATAACAGCACACGGTATGTGTATTGTAAACTTATCAACGCTTTTGTTTGACTGTACTGACATTACGTATGTAGTCCCTGGTTTACTTGTCACACATACCCCATCACCCACATTTACGGTCATAGATTATCTAATACTGAGATGTTTTGCTTTAGTTATTCAGTGGTCAAATGATGTTCTGCAGAGATCAAAATAGGCAGAGTTGATTTGGTGAATAACCTCATCCAGAGTTAATGAAAACATAATCCAGTAACTCATTTAAACCTCACATATCCGATTTATGGTTGTGGTAAAACCAAAGATCATGCCATGACCACTTGGCTTATTCTTTTTATTTGAACACATAAATATTGGTACAAGAGTGCGCCAAATATACATGCGCCACACAAAACAATGAGAATTCAAAGAGAAGGAAAAAGAAAAAAGGTAAGGAGCGTAAAACAAAAAAGAGAACGATAACGAAGAGATTGTTGTAAGGTAGTGTAGTAATAATAATAGTAATAATGAGGGAACGGAAAGGTACAATCAGAAGAAATCTTTCAGTTAAGGAAGATACAACCACTTTTTATGCAGAAAGTAAAAGAAATTTACAGCAGGATCGCCATTAGCTTCTATTCTGAGCCATATCTCGTAACGTCTTTAGCCACTGTGTAGCACCATCTCTCGGACCCCAGCCAGGGAGTCGTGAAGGAACAACACAAGCCAGTCCTTAGCAGCTTTCTTTCATACCACGACACCATGTCATACACTGACCACCTCTCCGCTTCTTCCAACCAGTCCCAGAGTTGGC